CAGCTCAAGTGGAGCAATCTCGCTTCAGAAGCTCATGGCGAGCTCCGGGACAAACCATATAGGCTGACCTCGTATTGATCTCGTATAGACCTCGTATCGGACCTCGTATAAATGCACCCTTGTCCACCACAGTTTTTGATATGCAACCCTTCTGTCCAAACCTGACCTGTGAATCCGGAGTTCCAGTATGAATTAAAACACACTGCGCATGAGATTCTGGCAGGAGTAGTCTTGAGAAACGGAGTTCACATGGGGATTTGCTCAGGTGGTTTGGGCAGGTCTGAAGCATCAGTAAAAGAGAAGTGGCTGTCCGCTGAGAAATACTATCGTGCTTTGCGATATGTGAAGAAGTGAAAAGGATCCTGTAGCAGATTCTGGGAAGTGTGGTGCAGATTTAGATATCCAGTAGTAGCGATTCCATGCAGGAAAGCCTATGAAGTTATAGAATTAGCAGAATTATTCCATTAGCGTTCCATGCAGGAAAAGCCTATGAAGACATAGAATTAGCAGAAATATTCCATTAGCGTTCCAATAGGAACTAACATCTCCAGTAACATTTTGATGTAGATATTTGGCCCCAGCGTTGAAGCGTTACCAATAGGATTTCTGATCCAGGTCCCGCCTTTTCTGACTTCGACGTAACCGGTGCGTTCCATGCAGTTGTACCAACCCCGCGGTGCTTAGTCCTGACTTCCACGGGTGCCTGTACATACATACATACATACTTACTTACTTACTTACTTACATACATACACACACATACATACATACATACAGACAGACAGACAGACAGACAGACAGACAGACATACATACATACACACACACATGCACACACACACACACACAATCACACACACAATCACACACATACACACACATACATACATGCACGCATGCATACATATCAGAGTCATTGCACGATGAGGTGCCGCCTCCGCTCTGGCATCGCCTCTGCTCTGGTGAATAATGGCACTGGAAGCAGCCAAAGGGCAAATTTCACAAGACTTATTCTTGTTCAACTCTCTTTGTCAGAAGGGATATTGATTAGGAGATATCCATAAATGTGTGACATATATTATCATAGATTATGAAAGCAAGTTCATCCCATACTACTGACTGAATGAATACATGGACGAATAGGAACGCAGCTCTGGGTTTGTATAAAAAGAACAGGTGTAATTCTTTAGCACATGTCAAAGCAGATTATCACACATGGCCAAAGCATAGCCAGTGGTCCAATGTCTCCGGCTGAAGGAGATAAAGCCGCTGCTGCTGCTACTGCCTGGGCCTCGGCCTGTCATGTTCATGCTTCCATGCCTGCACATGGACAGCTATTATGATCATGAATAGCAGAGTTTGTTGTTTGATGGCCCAAAGTGATTGTTCAAAGGGATGTTAGATGGATAGGTTTGCAGTTTCAGCACGTGAAAATGAATAATAAATAATAATAACAAATTTAATTATACATTTGTTTGCAGAGTACTGTTCACCAAACCAAGTTTTGTTGAAACTTGTTCAAAGGTAGCTCAACTTGCATGATGCCAACATGTGTGCTTGATGCCCAACATTGTGCATGATGTCAACTGTCCACTGTTTGGCTGAGTGCTAGAGCGAACTCGACTTCAGGAAAGCAGCAAGTGGAAATCATAGCACAGTTGCAAGGACATACATACATCCATCCATACATCCATCCATCCATCCATCCATACATACAACCATCATCATCCATCCATACATACATACATGCATGCATACATACATACATACATACACACATGCACACAAAGACACAATCACACACACACAATCACACACACATACATGTGCGCAGACCGAGAAAACGCAGTGCCACGTGCATGACCTGATTCTTCCGGACGGATTTCAGGTTTGGCTTCTTCAATACGCGGCATTCCTGGTATGAAGGCGATGATGAACGCGAGGCCCGGTTGCAATCCGCGATATGCATGCGAGACCGCGTGGCTGTCTAGAGAACACGCAAAGCCGCCATTCATTACACACAGGAGTATGGGAGAATTGTGTGTTCTGGGTGCCCTATGCCCACCGACGCCTTCGGACGCCGGGACGTTTGGTGGGAAGCCAGTTGAAAAGCACTGGGTCATGCAGAGAGCGGCGCGGCAGCGTTGGATGATTTAAACTTGCTTGGCAGGCTTAGGATTAAATTTTTAAAGCATTCTTCGGGGAAGACGGGGCAGCGCATACATGTCGATTTTTCTAACTTATGAAACAGCGATGTCCATTTAAATTGAGCATGCCCGGTCTCAAAACATGCACCTTGATCCAGGAAAACTTTCCGCCCGCAAATTTCAGGATCAGCCCACGATGTTCATGGAGAATAGTTTTTTTTCTCTCCGATCATATATAAGTAATCAGCACCTGATGGGTTTTTTAGAAGATGTGAATGGTTGACGCCCCCTGGGCACACGCAAAACTTTCAAGCAAAACCGACATGCTTCGATCTTTTCCAATTGTTTGAGAAAGAAGTTAACGGCAAACTTCCGATTATGGATAGATGCAGCAACAGGCGTGGGAAGAGTCAGAGAAGAGAAGGTAAGGCAAAAGAAGATCAAAGGAGGGGAAAAGGTATAAAATACGCGAAAGATGGTTTATTTTCCAATATTTTAAGGTTTCGGAAAGTAGGTTCGCTAAAGCAACCGGTGCGAAGCCATGTGGCGGGATGAGGGATCAAAAATTGCAGGTGGCTGCGGCGCAAAACGCGTTTCGATGTCAACATGTTAAAAAAAACACATTTGTGGAAATTGTGTTACTCAAAAAGAGCACACGGCTGTGGCGCCGCCAAGCGCGTTTCGAAGTCAAAAGGCTAAAAAAACACCCTAACGCGGGATCACTTTTGGAAGGAATGTTGCGAGGTCACGGCGCTGATTTCTTGAGAGGGGTTGCATTTTGGAGCATCAGATCTTCAGTCTTCAGGTTTGCTGAGATGATTTTGCGTGACAGGTGCAGCACTTCGTGTGACCTGGCCCCACTTTTTCGTAGCTGGCGCAATGCTTTAGACAGATGGGATGGAATCGCAAAGCGCCTTGACACAAAACCGTCAGCCCTGCACTAAATTTTTCATTTTTGAAGGATGTCTCGCAGAATTTCTTCCCTTTTGATGTTGTACATGGCATATTTTTGAGGAAGTCTCGCAGCTTTTCTTCGTTTTGGAGCGGTGAGCCTCCATTTTTTGAGGAAGTAAGTGCTTCGTTTTGATTCGTTTTGGACCTGTGAATTTCCACTTTTGCAGGGAAGTCTCGCATATTTGCTTATTTTGCTTCCCTTCAGATAGAGAGATGGATGAATGGGTTGATGGATAGATAATTAGACAGATACAGAGACAGCGGCAGAGACAGAGACAGAGATAGAGATTGAGATCGACATGGAGATGGAGACAGAGACAGAGATAGAGATAGAACTAGAGAGATAGATGCCAAAGACTAGGAGAGATTGATAGAGAGACAGAAAATGGATAGATAACTAGATAGATAGTGGGAGAGAGAGAGAGGGATAGATGGATAGATTCTTAGATGGATACGAAGAAAGAAAGAAAGAAAGATAGGCAGAGAGAGAGAGAGAGAGAGAGGGAGAGGGAGAGGTATATTAGAGGAGAGGATAGGGATCGTTCTCTGTCGATGGTATAGCTGATTTCTCGCTATCAGTGAGTAGGGCTGGCGGGATAGATTATATAGAGGAGAGAGAGAGAGAGACTCAGACCTTCAGCCACCCCACCTTTCGGTCCATCAGTGGCTTCGACCTGCCGTCCATGCATCTCAACAGTTCACCTGTCTTATAGGGTTCTTATCTTTGAAACTTCCACCGCCGCCTTGTGGATTGTCCGGTGCTACTGGCAAATTATGTTTGAAGGAAAATCATCGTAATATCTTTCATTTTAGTTTTATTTCAAGAAATATGTTTATATATTTTTGTATTTAATTTTATTTGTGTTTGTTGGTATTTTTTTCGAATGTATATTCTATACGTATATGCATACACATATATGTATTGTACAAGTTACACGTTTCGACCGAAATAAATATGAAAAAAATCAAACATCCCACCCTACTATTTTGCAGACGTGCCCGTAACTGGCAAAACAAAAAGGGTATACAAAACTGTTCCGTTGAAATCATGGAAAAGGGTTGTCACCCCTGGGGCTGGCAACTGCGCGACCTTTTGCGAGGGTGATGGGCGTAGGGGCTGATTCGTACGGTCACACAGGCAGTTCAAAAATGCGTTTTTTCGCTCGTACAAGTATGCTTGGGCGGTCAAACGTGGAACAGGCACGTTGTTTGTGGCCGTTGGTTCTGGGAGGTCTTCATGTTTTGTGCCTGTGAAACCAGGCGTTGCAATCGCACATGTCTTCCGAGTCTCCCACATGCCACGAGTTAACTTTTAAAGTCCCCACTATGCATGGTGCCATTTATTTCCACAACAGTTATATATTTTTGAATCTGTTCCACTGGCCAACCCGAAAAACAACCGAAGACGAACAATCCTTCCAATGGCAAGTGAAACCTTCAACATTTCCATGCCAAAACGTTGAAAACCACAACGTTGTTAACAATCAATGTTGATGGCATTTGTTTAGCAATGTTATGTTTTTTTTTGGCGGAAACCAATCAAAACTTATAACCCCAAGTATCATCAGTCACAAACAAACTATCAAAAAACAGGTGTTGCATCACCAGGTGCCGTGGTTTGCCTTTGTGATGATATTTCCAAACACAGTTTAATTGAGGTCAGCAAGTCACCAAAAACAAAACAGGACCGATCATGCGGACTCATGCGGGCGGAAATTTTCAGGATTGTGCCGTGAGATTTGCTGGTTCAAGAACGCTAGTATTCTATAAACCATTTTGGCTATCATGGGCGCTGGAAAAGATCAAACACGTTGTTTGAACTCCCAATGTGTGTGTGTGTGTGTCTCACTATGAGGTTTCATGGTTTGATTTCAGGCAAGTGAAGTGTACGGGCGGGGCAATGTGGCAATGCCAACACGAAGCCATGGCAAAAAGAGAATCGACAAACCTGCAGCAAAGCAACCCAGGAAAAAAGATGCCACAGTCAAGCAGGACCTGGCCGCACTGTGAATTGCTGTGGCAGTTGGGCTTCAGAGCATAACTGGATCCCAAGATCCTTAGTTTGGTGTGCATTGTCATATTGCGTATGGAGAGGCCAGTTTGGTTTCTCAACGTTTTTACTAAGTTGTTTTAAACATATAAACATATAATATAATTAATCGTGCCGAGGTACATGTTGTTCTGATGATTGGCTGGGGAGGACGGTGCTCCCAAAAGAAAAGCGTCGCTTCCAGCCAACCGCTTGCAACTGGCAGCCTGTGCGGCTGCTACCTTTGGAGCTGCCGGAGCTTACTGGTTTTTGGTCGCACTAGGTTCGATTTTCTGGAAGATGTCGCCAACCATGGGTCTTCCTCCTTGAAACTTTTTATAGACACGTATGATTCATATTATTAATCCAATCCTCTAATACTAAACACATCCTATAGATGGTTTAAACATTGTTGGAACCCCTACTTCACCATGATTTCTCGCAGTTGTTTAATATTGGGGGGACGGGATCATTATATTTCGCTGGGTTGGAATTCTCATTTCGGGACATGTTGCTTTGGTCAAGACAACTATGCTACTGAGGGTCTGGGCAGCGTTGTTGCCAAGCAAGGTGGACTTGAGGCGCAAAATGCGGGTGGCAGGATTTTAAGGTGCCTTAGAAGAATCATTTCATGAAATACTGTATCTCAAACCATATCAAACCCAACAATGTACATGTGGTGAATTGCCAACGACTAATGCTGTTGGAATCCAAGAAAAAAACTACATGGCAAAACTCAATAAACAATCATCCCCGATGCTGCCATAAATGGATTGTGAAAATCATCCCCAAATGGTAGGTTCGTATTGCTGGGTTTGCCATATCATTCAAATTTCATGGGGTTCCATTTGTTAATTTGGTGAATGTGACCACGACTGCCATGGAGAGAGCAACGATGTACTGGTCAAATGGTGGAAGGGATCATGGCCAAGGCACCATGCAGCGAACATCCTCGGGGAGGTTGACTGCATATACAACACATGCATGTCTGAAAATAAAGGACATTATGTTGTCTACATGTTTTCATTGGATTCTTTCACTTTCGATCGAGATTTTCACAGAGAGAAGTAGTTATGTGTGCGAGTTTTGTGTCTTGTAATACTTTCATGTGATCGGTGGGAGGCCAAAGCCGACGCTTGTCGTCCCTCGTGATGTGGGAATGCAAGCAGCCCCAAGTTTCACTCTGGCAAGCAGCGTGCCAGGTTGCACAATTGAACGCGGACGCTTGGAACTAGTCTGGTTCTTGCGGCTAGCGGCTAGCGATGTAATTTTGATATTTCTTTGTTGGGAATTCATTCCTTGGGATGCTTGCTGCGCAGCCAGCATTCAATGGCACGTTTCTTTGCCCAAGGATATGCAAACCGCCGCTTGGCTGACATTAAATTTACGGACGTCGGGCAGCCAATTTAATAATCGGCATCCCCTTTTCGGAACCACACCCCAGAGACATGCGATACCGCGATACTTTTCGGGAGTACTTCTTGTTTGAATGCTTTGTTCAACTTTGTTCCACGGATTCACAGGGTATTTGGTAGTCATATGTAGTCATTCAACAGTTGGATCACCGCCAGCTGCAGGGCACATTGTGGGTCCTGAGCGCTTCGGAATTTCATCGCCCAAAGAATGCATGAAATTTTGCCGGGAGTCCAGCTGCAACTGTTGGAGTTGGATGCTCGGTGGCAACACAACATGTTGCGACTATTGGAGCTCCTATTGGAGGGGCTTGTCCTAGATGTGCAGAGGATGTGTACATTTGATAACAGAATATATCAGTGGTACGGGCCTTAGCTCTGACAGAACAGGATAGAGAAGCTGCCTCCCAGCGGGCTTTTCTGTAGCTTCTGCAACCGAATGCCTCTCTTCGCGCAGCTGTTACAATGCGTTCAGCAACCTCCAGCTGCAATCGCGCATAGCACTATGGTCAAGAACTACTTTTTGCCCAGCTGTTGCAATGTGTTTGGCGATCCCCAGCTGCAATCCCGCTTGCCACGAGCGTCGCAGCATCACTCACGCTTTCCTGCGCGCACCCGTGCCAATGCGTTTTGTCACACCCATTGCAAACCTGCATAGCAGGAGGTTTAATAAACCAAGTCGACCAACATCCGCGCAGCATCAACATTGCGGACTTTTTTAGCCATGCTGCGTGCGCCCCGCATTTTTTTAATTTTTTTTCAAATGAAATCGAGCTTTCGCGAAGGTCTGGCACACATTTTGCCGACCTCATCTTCCCAAATGTGCTCCGAGGCTGTCAGTTTTTGCGCTTTTGAAGTGCAAACCGAGGTCCCGCTTCAGTCCTGTGCACTTTTTGTCGGCAACTTTCCCAGATCGAGGCGTGGAACCGCGGAAACAGAGACCCTACTTTGGCGACCGCAGGAGCCACATTGCCCGAAAAACGCAGGGTATCGCACTCGAGAGTGTTTTCACCCATGAATTCACACGCTTCCGAACTGTTACTATACTCTTCTCTAGTGCTCCTGCACGCGAAGTGCTCGTGTTCACTCTGCTGACATGACCTGATGACAAAGACTACCCCCGGACATTCCTCCGTAACTGGTAACTCGAAAACCCCACCTTGCAAACAATTTCCTGGCTCACGCAGAGTGCCAGGAAAGATGATGGTTTTTGCCGCACTGGAACTGCCCAGACTTGAGCCTTGACCCCAAAGGTTAACAGCACGGTGAGGTTTTGCACGAAAACTGTCGCATTGGTTTGAAAATGTTTGAAATGGTTCCGGTTGGACCCGTTTGCTGAGATTCCTGAAACCCGGTTTTTATCGATGACCTGCTTTCTCCCCGCAATGCAAATAGTAGCAAATAGTTTTAAAATGTTTTAGAATTGGCTTCAATCCCAGTATGTATCATTATGTTTTGTTTTTGTTGGTCGTTCGCAGAAATTGAGGCAACTACATTGCCAGTGAGGATGATGACCGGTGGATGTATGGTTCCTGCACTATGGAGAAGTCAGTGCCACCACCTGCACGTCCAACCGTGGTGCCGCTGGTGCCAGCGCAGCCTGCAGCAGCAGCAGCTCCAGAGCTACCTTTCAACCCAAGCCTTCTACGGACATCTGCCCCAGTGGCACTGACAACACAGGGAAAGGGCGGAAACACTGAGGCGGTGAAAGGCCGATGCTTGGGGGATGGGTTGTTTCCTAGGGGAGCTGCGAGTTTTGGTGTCGTGTCTTCAGCACGGCTTTTCCAGTGTGACCCGAGCAAGGTTTGTGGGACTGCCTGGGATGCCGCATAATGAGAATGTTCAGCATATTTCAGCATGTTGGGCATATTTTTTTGAAAACATATCTGCACACAACGCTGCCTACAGATGCCTACAGTAGAACACCAAAGAACACTAGTCAACCGAAACGCACCGAAACCATGAAGACCAGTACAATGCCCAGCCGTTCATTTGGGTATGGATCAAATCGTAAACCTCTGTATTGAAACATAGAACCCACTGTAAATCTCATTAAACTGCTGTAAACCCTAACAAAGGGATTGTTTGATACCTGGATCTTCCATATGGTACTCTGCCGTTGCTCAAAAACACTAGAATTTTTGCCGTTCTTGCCGAAAAGTGCCGTTCCTGGAAAAAAAAAATGCCGTTGTGAGAAATTGTCAGAGCACGTGGTCGGGTATTTTCGCCGTTTGGTCGAGCACTTTCGCCGTTTGGTCAGGCATTTTCGCCGCAGAAAAACGGGTTTGGCATCAATATATCAGAAGAAATTCTGGTCTGCCCAAATAGGTCGTTCTTATGCAAAACCTATTTATTGAGCAAAAGGCAGAAATTAAGCACCTTTTGAAGAGGCAGGTATGACCTGATCCTCAACATACGGCATTCTGTGGTCCCATTGGCTGTGAATTCTAACCCAGATCCCGTTTGACAGGAACGAGTCAAGTATCGACTGCTGCGCCTGCACCTCTTCTCGCTGCCACCCAAAGAGTGGAGACCAGCGAGAAACCTCAGCTGCAAGCCACAGGCACGCAATCGCCTACAGTGTATTTGCTGAATCGATTGGCTGATACACAGGATAGACAGGGGATGATAGGGGTATTTTGTCGCAATTGTGAACCTATAAGCTACGATAAACTACGTTCTTTTCGTCTATTTTCCAGGTACCTCAAGTTGGATGGAAGTTTCAACTGTGTGTGTACCCGTGTTGATTCTTTGTACATGTAAGCACATGATTTGGTATGATGCGGTTGTTCGGTCACTGGAGCGGCATCCTTGGCTTCCAAGAATGACGATCTGGACAGGGGCATCCAAAGAAGACTTATTGAAAGCGCCCAAATCGAATGCAACTGTGTGTCCAGCGCCGGGTTTGCAACTAGAACTTGCCTGCGTTTCAGAGTCTTTCCCGATGGGCATGCTAGGACACTCTCGGGCCCTATGGCATATAATTCTCTTGTCTCAGAAAGATGATTGCATCTAATCTATGCTAGTGATTGGATACTTAGATTTTTTCGTGCTGTCACTACATCAGTTTTTATCCAGGGACATTTCGAGATTCGTGTTGTTTCCCTTCTATTTCTCTTCCATAATAGTGATGTAGTGGGCAGCCCCAAGTCTCAAGGTCTTGATGATTACCCACCAGCGCGCAGAGTATTTGAAGCGTGCTCTCGGCTCCCTGTTCCGTTACCGGACCAAGCCGCAGACCTACCCCATCATCGCTTCACAGGACTTCGATGGGTGAAGAGTCTATGACAACTGCACTGCCATCCATTAGTTTCCAAAGAAATGCCCCTGCCATTACGAAGAAAAACGTGTTTTGTCCCCAGCTATCCTGGGCCGCTGGACATTGGCCACTCCAGGATGGGGAAGATGCCGAAGTGAAGGCGGTCTTGCAAAAGTACCAAGCCACGGGCGCGCTGCAGTTCCTCCACTTCACCCCCAAGGCGTTGCTTTGGCGAACATGGCTGAACTGCAGGGTGCTTCCGAGGCGTGTTTCCCAACAAGGCCACATAGAAATTGAATGAAATTGAAGCCAACATCCATGAGAAAAGTTCATCAGGCTGCACCTTTCACTGACTTGGCAGTCAACATGTGTCCCAGGTTTCTGCCCACGGGATACAAACGTCTCAGCGCTCACTATGGCTGGGCTTTGGGGCAAGTCTTCGACGTACTAGGCCTTGAAAGTCCGCGCAACTCTTATATCCACCAGCGCCGTGCAAGAAATTTGGGCTTGAACAACCTTCAAGTTCCGCAAGTTCCATCCAAACACTATGAGATATAACACCAGACCAGAATAACATTACATTATGTTATATATATATATATATTATGCATAGAATACAGGGTCACCCCCCAGAGGCACAGAGGGCTACAGCAGGTGGGGCCACCTGGACTGGTTTTGTGGATTTTTGTAGCAGGTTTCAATTGCCATGCACTGTTTGGACCAGTCCCAGATGATGTGTGTATTCTTCACTCATGAAAAAGGGTTGCCTTGCAGGATACCGGCAAGTTGTTATTTTGGAAGAGGATCTGGATTCTTGGATGATAAGTCGCAATGCAATGGATAGGGAATAAGCAAGTCTGCTCGTGCACAAATATGTTCATTAGTGAGAACGTGGATGTTTTTTTGAGAAGCCAGAAAGGTCAAGGTTTGAACCAAAAGCCACCCGTATGTAAAGGTACTACAATGCTTTCCGTCTGGGATGCATAGTGTGGAATCACTGGAAATTGACACAGAACATCCTGGCAATCCACAGGGACAGCTATAAGTTTAAGTGTTTGCAGCAGCTCAAATGTTGCGTGGGTGGTCATGTTTGTGAAGCTACCGGATTCGGGTATCAAGGAGATAGCTGTGGACTTTTTCTCCTATTTCGAGGTGGGGCTCAGATGTTCGAAAAGAAATTACTGAGAATCTAAGTCTGCACAGAAATTTGGGAGAAGAACATATAAATGGGAGATTGGCTCATAAGGGGTGGGAATCCGAATTGGAATGAATTTGACAGGATTGACAGCCTCAAACAGCCTCAGAAGTCATGAGAAGTGACGAGTGAGAGCTGATCAATATCGGCAGCCTATCTGATGCCATCCCATGCACCCTTGATGAAAATATTCACAAGGATGGTGAACATTGGTGAACATTGGTGAACTGAAAATCAATTTGCACTTGCAGATCTTGCCTATGGTAATGACTGTGATGACCCAAAGACTTGCACTGGGGTAGCATGAAGGCCACCAAGTCTCACATAGGGAGGGATGTGGCGGGAGAGACTTGTAAAGAACAGCGTGACCGACAGGCCACCTTGCCATTGCTGCAATCCGATCCCAAGCTCTTCTGTGTCTCCGCTTGGAACGACAATGGGCGACCTGACCTGGTCCAGAACGCAACAGCGATCTACCGCAGCGAAGCTTTCTCCAAAATGGCAGGAAAAGATGTGTTGAAACTGTCGGATTGTCATGATATGTCACGATACACGCTTTGCACACATTGGACCACGGATGTGTAGAACTACTTGCGATTGCTGCCATTTGATCTACTTCCATGATCTTCCATGCACTTGTGTGATGGTTGACGTAATTTGCCACATCCAGTAGACATATCAGTTGCAACACCTGTCCCAAGGATTTCTTTCCTGGTCTCGGTTGGATGCTGTTGAGCAGCTTCTGGAATGAAGTCAAGGGCAAATGGCCCAACGAGATCCTTGGCTGAAACGAATCCCCATGCGGCCGTGCGGCCTATCTGCAACATTTCAGTGGCCAGGCGCCGGCTAACACTGAGGTATTGGGATGACTTCCTGCGTCGATCTGACATTCGTTGCCTGGCCTGAGATGGGGATGGGCATGACATGACAGGCTGTTGGAATTCACTTCATGAATAGGTGTTTCCTAAAAATAGGGAATAATAATGAATATTAGGGGTACCCAAAAACCATTGGCCTCCTGGCTACCCCATGAAAGTGATGTTATATGATGTTATATGATGTTATATGACATATGTTGACATGGGCCATGAAGTATGGATATCTGGATATCTTTCTCTAAGCCTTTCAAGGTGCCATGGCCGCATGGCCCATAGCACCAGTGCCAAGGCCTGGAACGGCATTGTTTGCGTCCTGAAGTGAGCCGCACGTTCCTTGGCCGTCGATTTGGCGGATACCGGGTAGTAAATTAAGCAGATTGGAGGACAAGGTATTATGGACTATTATGGTGGTAAATACTAACAACACTTCAACACAAGGGAGTCTTTTCATGTCAGATTGAATCTTGTAACATTCCCGTCATTCCCCTTTTTTATCGAGGAACCAAACTATAATGGTTGAACATATTGGAAGTATTCATGGAACATGTGTGAACTGAGCCTTTGATACTTTGGCGAGGTTTGCGTTTCAAGAATGGCAACTAAAAGGTTTCCTCAAATTGTTACCCTCTGGTGAACTAACATAGCAATTGAAAATGGCCATTTATAGTGGATTTTCCCATTGAAAGTGGTGATTTTCCATAGCTATGTTAGTGTTGTTGAAGTTGCAAGCCCTCTAACCAAGGCACACCTTCGGCGAAAAGGGCGTTTCTCATGGGCAGTACTACAAACAGCAACTCTGGCAAGCATACAGCAGCGGTTTCTTGAAGAGATGAGAAGTGCGAAAACGATGGATTTGCAAGGGGCTCTAATTTGGAGTGAAACTGCAATGTCATCTATCTATCTTATTTTTCTTTCTTTCTTTCTATCTTTCTATCTATCTGATCTATCCGGTCTATCTGATTTATCTGATCTATCTGATCTATCTTCCTATCTATTTTCATCTATATTTCTATCTATCTTTCTATCTTTCTATCCATCTTTCTATCTATTTTCATCTGTATTTCTATCTATCTTTCTATCTTTCTATCTATCTATCTACCTATCTATCTATCTATCTTTCTATCTAATCTTTTTATCTATCTATATATCTACCTATATCTCTATCAATAATCTGAATCTAAGTCTAAGTCTAAATCAATATCAATATCAATAGCAATATCAATATATCTCTCTATCTATCTATCTATCTATCCATCCATCCATCCATCCATCCATCTATATATCTATCTATGTATCTATCTATGTATCTATCTATCTATCTATCTATGTATCTATCTATCTATCTATCTACCTACCTAATCTATCTAATCTAATCTAATCTAACCTAATCTAACCTAATCTAATCTAATCTAATCTATCTATCTAATCTTATCTAATCTTATCTAATCTTATCTAATCTTATCTAATCTTATCTAATCTTATCTAATCTTATCTATCTATCTTATCTAATTTATCTAATCTTATCTAATCTTTCTATCTATCTATTATCTAATCTTATCTAATCTTATCTATCTATCTAATCTTATCTAATCTTATCTAATCTTATCTAATCTTATCTAATCTTATCTAATCTTCTAATCTTATCTAATCTTATCTAATCTTATCTAATCTTATCTAATCTTATCTCTTATCTAATCTTATCTCTTATCTATCTTATCTAATCTTATCTAATCTATCTAATCTTATCTAATCTTATCTATCTTATCTAATCTTATCTAATCTTATCTAATCTTATCTAATCTTATCTAATCTTATCTAATCTTATCTAATCTTATCTAATCTTATCTCTATCTATCTATCTTCTATCTATCTATCTATCTATCTATCTATCTATCTATCTATCTATCTATCTATGTGTGCCAGAACTCCGTCCAGTGAGCGTATCTACACTCGGAACTTTTGACTTTGAGTCCACGAGATGCCCTTGCTGCTCAACGCACAGCTGTGCAGAGTTGGGCATTTGCGGCTGGTGCTTGAGGCACTTGGCATCCAACATGCTGAATGACAAAGTGGTGGATTGGGTCTCGATGAATTTGAGCCATGTGGCCACGGCTTCGGCCTTTGATCTTTTCTTGAGTCAACAGGCAGGGCCGACAATTCCGTACAAGTTGGGATAGCAGGTTGGATTTACCACGGATTTCTACCTTCTTTGGATCCGGTGTTTATTTGATGACTGTAGACTGCAGGGGTATGTTGAGTCAGCTCGAAATCGGGTGATTAAGGTGATTTAAATTGCGCTTATAAGTCAGTCAGGCTGTTCCACAACTGCGGCAGGTGAAAACTGCAAAGCTGATTCGGCTCGAAGAGCTTAAGGGAAACCAAGTGGATTCCCCCATCGCTGTCCAATATGCGGACAAAGAGTGGAAGCAACTTGTCATGATTCAAGATGCAGGTTGTTTGCCTCCTGCTATTGTTTTAGGTGGAATGACTTCAAGGTTTTTCTTGCCGTGGGAAGTCGGCCAGCACTAGGCTTGGGGTTAAAAACTCACTTGCTCAGGAAAGTGGCACAACATTTTGGCCTCATGGAGGATCAAAAGGTGCGCCACCTGGTGCTCCGCTCCGATGCGTCAGTCCTGTCTTCTGCATGTTCATCTAATCTTGTATAATCTATGCACATGACGCACACATTCCGTAGATCAATCAACTCATAGCTGAATAATGCTGAATATATAATCGCCAGCAGATGCAACTTGTGAGAGGCCGGCGTTCGACGTGGCAGCTACAGGGGCGTGTTGCCCTTTGCCTGGAATGGCCAGGCAACATATTTGGTGCGAGACTGGCCGTTGAATTAGGAATCTACCCGAAGCAGGACACTAGAATGCCATTAGGAGGAATCAGACTTAAAAACTTAAAAGAAAAGATATGAGAAGCACAGCCGGTGATCGAATTACTCTCAAAACATCGGCCTTGATTTTGTTGCGGGAGTTGCTTTTCCTGCATAGTTTATTGGGCAAACATGGCCGCTAAGCAAAGCGGCCTTTCCCGTTGCCAATTGGCGGATAAGATGTCTGCAAGGTTTGGCAGCCGGATATCCAAAGCCTTCGAATGTGAGAAATGCATGGCATAGAACTGTTGTCAGGTGGTGACCTGCATTCATCAAATATCAAAGTATATCAACGCATGGTATTATCGGACTAGATGTATGTATGCGTATGTATACGTATATATATATATTTATTTATGAGAATATGTTGCTCCCTTTGCCTTCCATTTGCCAATGGTCGATGGGTCACGCACAGCCATGAAATCGGTTCAATGCATGGATACATCCGGCGCATAGCCCGTCGCGTTCAGCATTTGGCTCAGATTGACTCTCAGATTCACCTGGCATCGGCGCGGCAGATTGGGTTGCCAGAAATCGGATTCATTCAGGATTGAGTTGGACATCTTCCGGAAAGTCAGAGGCACCAGGGACTTGCGTATTTTCTTGGGCGACCTGCATGCATATCTATTTACATGTACCAGTAGTACCGCACAAGGCGGTGGCAGAAGTTGATAGGAAACCTATAGGAGAGGTGAGTTGTTGTGATTTCCCCACTACATATCCACTGCTTAGCGAGTAATGTTCACCTCTGATTTATAAACGTGGCCCCCCCCCTCTTTTCCCTAAATAAAGTCAAAGGCCACCATCAAACTTGTTTGCATGTAAAGGTTTTCAATTGCCACAAATTAAAACGAATATATAAAATGCAAATTCAAAAAAAACAGGAATCCAACAATTGTTTTAGTATTGATCTAGTATTCATGTCATGGATTTAGTATTCATGTCATGGATTTAGTATTGATTTAGTTTTCATGTCATGGATTTAGTATTGATTTAGTATTCATTTCTTGATCAGTGGGAGGGGGAAACTCAGTAGCTTTATTCAGGGTCAAATTCTAATTAGTGCTAAGGCACCTCATGGGGGGTACCCTTGACGAGTTGATTTGGGATTGATTTTGGAAAATATTGAATAAAGCTTTTGAATAGAAATAGCATCCATTATTTCTGAAAATTTGAAGTTATCAAGGTAAGATCCAATGAGCTGGCAGTATGAATTAGTACATGAAAGCCACCTCAAATAAAGCATGGACAATTTTTTTCAGCCCCATCTGGGCAAATCTGGGTTTAGGGCCAAAAAAGTTTAGCTTTATTTAGGGGTCATTTATTATTTGTTTTGGGAGTTTGGTTTGCTTTATTCAGGGTCCATTGATAAATCGTAGGTCAACATTATGCATCTTTCGATCTCTTTTGTCACCCATGTTGGAACCACGCTAATTTACGTAACATGATTGTGTATTCCATTGTGCTTATTCCATATGCCATATGCATTCTTCCTGTTTATGTCAGAGCTTTGGGTTGTGACAATGCCCACACATGCAGCGCCCTGGTCCTGCTGCTCCTACAGGTTTGTTCGGGTTGTTGCAGGTGTGCACAATAATGAATGGATTGACCGATGACCGATTTTGTTTTTGGAACTTTAAAAATTGAAGCCTTCCAAGACATGTTCTATCCATGTTGGCTAATTGTAAGATATATGATATATAGATTGACTCGCAGCAAAACCCGTGACATGCCGTGACTGACTCAGTGGCACTGGTGCAGTTGTCTTCCATCGCTCCACTTGTTCCTGGATTTGAGCGCTTCTTCCCAAGACGACAATGGCTCCCGTGGAGGACCTGACATCAGGAAGTCTGTGAACACAAAAGGTGAACAATACATATAGCATTAGCAGTACTCAATCCATGAAGTGAGACTAAACTTTAGCGAAACTAGATATTCCATGATATTCCAAGCGTTCCAAAGACGCAAAGGGATTCCTCCCTTGTGATTCTCAGGGATTTTGTGCCCACGAAGCGTTGGATAGTGGTGCCCATGTGTTCCCTTCGCCGTAGGAGGCGAAATCATCACGCCGCTTCAACTTCAGCGCTGGCCCCGCGATGCTGCCGGACCTTGTCCGGCAGCTCAGAGAGTGGCATGAATTCTGGACCCAAGGAGCCATAAGACATAGAATGAATATGGATGATGGATGTTAAAAATACAGTAGAAAACATCATGCACTCAAATGGATGTTCATGGTCGTGATATACTACCATATTCGGGTGGGTCAACATTCATGATATCCATTACTATCAGCTATTTGATATGGATATTTGTTGGACACCTCGTGTGGCTCCAATAAGGATAACGGATGAGAATAGGGACCGCTTGATGGACTCATAGCCGAGCAATCATTTAGACATTGAAACATCAGTCGGTCGTCGGTCAAGATGCACCTCAGCCTCAGCGCAAGAACTGCAGAGGTTCTGGATAAAATCGTGGAGGAGCTTGGTGACTATGAGGGCTGCTTGGCAGAGTCCTTCAATTTTGAAGGGTGTTCGCATCAAACAGGTCCAAATTCTTTGGGATTGGGAAGCTGTCCCAGCTTCAAACAGCTTTCTTTAAAGCTTAGTGACCCTTTGATCACTTTGAATCCTGATTCCATAGCGCCAGGTTTGGGCATGAGCATATTGGAAATGGGGCACCGAGACGCAGGTGGACCCGTCCAGCAAGTCTTGCAAGAGGCAGGAGGCAAAAACAAATGGCATGGGATGGGCCACAAGCCACAATACTAGGGCCACAAGCCACAATACTATTGCAATTTATTGCAATTGTAAGATTTATAAGACCATAATAGACCATAGTTGGTGGAAGGAATGCTGCATTTGCCTGTTTTTGTGATGCCTTTTGATGTTCACCAGGGTACCTAAGTTTAAAAGAAAGTCTTGATCCACAGCCATATTTTGGTATGAGCGGAGTTTCACAATGTTTCAATGCTCAACTTTGAAGCTCCCAGTGATCACTTCCAACTGCTCAGCTGCACCATGGATACCATGGTCTACACAATCATCTACTGGACTTACTACAGGCTCTCAGCTGGTCTTCTGCAGGCGACCGATTGTGTTCGGCACTTGCTACGGGTTCCGGCGAACTATGCGGTGATTTGGCAACAGGCGGCCTGAAAAGCTGAGCGCAGTCCCATTTGTGCGGTGACAGCTGATCGGTGCAGGGTGGTGCCCACGGACAGTTTGCGGCTGTGCCCTTAAACCTCCTTGGTGACAAGACACAGGCAGGGTGAGTGCCGTCCTGTGGTCCTGCCGTTTGATCAAGTTTCCGTGTGATTTAAAACGCTAGTGCCCGACTCGTATTCCGTGTCCTCTTCCAATTCCTTATCAACAGTCTTCTGCTTGTATTCTATGATTTGTGTGGTATCCTGTGCGTTTCTTTGTTTCTTTCCCCTTCTTCGTTTTCGTTTCCTTGCCCCTTCCCAAACATACCTCCATCGGCCCATGAAGTCACCGTCGCAGCTTCGCTGAGGCCGACTATGTTGATACGGGGGTTTGGTCCAAGAGGGCAATGCAACTTGGAAATCCGAATGGAGCCATTCGAATCCTGCACGGCATGTATCAATGTATATAGATCACATAATATATATATATTATAACTATAATTATATATATACACGCGCACGGGTCCCCAACTCTGCATTCCATTGGGAAGATCAACAAAGGTATTAGGGAATATTAAAATCCCACCCCCGTTAAACCCTACATTCAATTGGGAAGATCAACAAAGGTATTAGGGAATATTGAAACCCCACCACCGTTGAACTTTGCATTCAATTGGGAAGATCAACAAAGGTATTAGGGAATGATAAAATCCCACCCCCGTTACACTTTACATTCAATTGGGAAGATCAACAAAAGTATTAGGGAATATTAAAATCCCACCCCCGTTAAACCCTACATTCAATTGGGAAGATCAACAAAGGTATTAGGGAATATTGAAACCCCACCACCGTTGAACTTTGCATTCAATTGGGAAGATCAACAAAGGTATTAGGGAATGATAAAATCCCACCACCGTTACACTTTACATTCAATTGGGAAGATCAACAAAGGTATTAGGGAATATTAAAGTCCCACCACCGTTAAACTTTACATTCATTGAAGATCTTCAATAAGGGTTTAATTCTCCCACCCCGGTTTAAACTTCTACATACTTCTACGTTCATTGAAGATCTTCAATAAGGGTTTAATTCTCCCACCCCCGTTAAACTTCTACATACTTCTACGTTCATTGAAGATCTTCAATAAGGGTTTAATTCTCCCACCCCCGTTAAACTTCTACATACTTCTACGTTCATTGAAGATCTTCAATAAGGGTTTAATTCTCCCACCCCGTTGAACTTCTACATTCATTGAAGATCTTCAATAAGGGTTTGCTTCTCCCACCCCCGTTAAACTCCTACGTACTTCTACGTTCATTGAAGATCTTCAACAAGGGTTTGATGATGATGATGATGATGATGATGCGTTGCCTGTCGTGGTTGCGGTTCCGGGCAAAGCCCAGGCATTTGCCGTATATATATATATATATATACACAATTATATACAACTATAAATGTATTATGATATAATAGCTATATAGTGAGAGAGACACACACACACATATATATAGGTCCGTGTGTGTGTGTGTGGGATTCTGCGGATGCGCACCTCTACACGCAAACGTAACCAGCATCAAATTGGAATTGATCATTCAATGGCGTGTTGCGGAAGGGAGTGGTACAAAAGTGTCAATAGTCAAAACCCGAATTATTCCAGCCAGATGAAGAGAATGGGACAGAGTTATGGCATGTGATGGGACAGAAACATTGAATTTCATTGCAATACTGCATAGCTCGTGGACTTGTACTTGTAACATCTCGCAACTGTATGCAACTGTACGCAGTGGTTAGATGCATTAGAACATTTTGAAGGCATGGCTCGGTGAACCCAAGCACTGAAGCTCCCAAGGAATGAAGCGGGAAAGTTTTGCACCACGCGAATTTGTGCAGAAGTGCGGGAGAGGCAGGGGAAAGCGGAGGTCCCACCGGTGTCGGAATGGGATTTGTCTGATCCTTGGCTGAACTGCAACATCCGCAACTCTGCCAGGGGGTCCGGGCGATGCAATGTTGAGTCCCTGTTGGGTTTTCTATCTGCACAAGTCCTTGGGTCATGTGCTGGTCCTGGTTGGATAGAGAAAAGGAAGAGAAAAGGGGTTTGAAAAGTTGCGATTCAAGGGGGGATTGTGCGCACATCTCCAAGTTGGAGCTAGCTAGGAGTACTTTGCAAGGTGTAAAGCGTGTGGGCGATGCTTTCAGGATTCAATACGAGGGACAGATGCTTAGCCTGGACCGATATGTACCATTGTGTACCCAGATTCGGGCAGCTCCCTTCAGCTGAGGACAAATCTGCCTATGCTGCTTGCCTGGGAAGAGGGAGGGGGTCCGTGTCCTATAGTCTGGAAGCCCCTTGTGCAATGCTATATGCAACATAAAACCTCCGTGTTTGGGATTCCTTTGCTCTGAACATCATGATTCATCAGCGCTTGACGATCAAAATTCATCTCAGCAAGACGCTTTGATAAAGTCACTGCCACGAAATTCTGGAAGCAATATCACCGGGTTCTTTAGTGCAATTCCACCTTAGGGCCCAGAATTGTTGACCAGCAGCTGTTGGAAGTGGGAACCGACGCTGCCTTATTGATGCTGATGCCTTGTACACTTGTGCCCTCAATATGAAACCTGGATTTTAACATGGCACCCAAATTCGGAGGTCCCAAGGGTGGTACTTGTCTGTATTAAGGTACATATTTGTGCAAATGATACGATCAGTGGAGTGGAATTCCTTGAGGACCTGGCCAATGCTTGGTGTCGTTCGGTTTTGGATAGGGGGCCAATGGGTTGGTATGCCAGTGTTTTGCCCGGCGTGGCGGCGTGGCTGAAGCTGGTTCCTGGAAGTTGATTCATCGTAGCTATAGCATGTTATACATGGTTTTTCTTACGGTTCAAAAACGGTAAACAATGTAAAACATGTCAGCCATCTATATATCCGATTTTCTTTGTCGTTTTAAGTTTCGAAAACGTTTTGGGATCGATGGCAAGCCTGTAGCAGAATTCACCGCTTCACCACTGATCATTTTGCGTCGGAGGATCCAGATGTCGGTGATCGACTCCTTGTGGCAGACTTTACCTCGACTTTGCTGTCGAGACCGGTGAACATCTCAAGCCACTTGATACCAGCAGCATCCAGCAGCTGTGGTGGTAGAACTGACACCTCGAGCAACGAACATTGGAAGGCGATATGGGTCCATGATGATTCATGGACCAATTTATGGATCTTCATGGTACATCAATGTACATCATACGATTCTGTTTGCAAAAGGGGGTCTTTGTCATCCTTCAGATTCCTTGTGAATCCTTGTGAAATCCTGCTCCCAAGGATATGCTGCGTTGTACTGCTCTTCAGGGAAGAATTTGGGGCCAGCAGGCGTTTGCCTTGTCATCGAAGCTCGGATCAGTTGGATGTGCGAAGGATGCGGTGCTTCCAGGTAGGACCATGGTAGGACCCGCATCCGCTTCCTATGCCGTCGCCTGCCTCAACCGCCTCAACTCCCTTGATCTCCCATAGCAACCATAGCAGCTCAGGTTCGCCGCGACCTTCTGGACATGGCTTTGCCACGGACTCCAATGATTTTGCACCGTGGATGATTATGGATGATTATGGTGGTACAGTGCGGCTTTTGTAAATATATGTGAATACATTGCTTTCAATTTATTACATGAGCATCATGAGCCCTTGCTGCATAGCTGTCAACCGCATTAGTAAATTGAGGCATTGGAAAGCATCAGCTGACACTTCACCCGTCGCATCACTGGTGAACACGCCCGTGGCTCAAATATTCTTGTGAACACCTACCGTATGCAGCTTGGATCAGCTTGACAAGTGGAGCCTTTGCCCCAAGGCCGCCAGTGTTCGCGATCTATGCTTGTGGCCATGTTCTCAAGGGGCTGCGCAGGCGGAATGATCTAATCTTGGCATTTCGAAAGACAACTTTCGCACACATCCCAGGGCACCCATGTGGAAAATCAAGTCCAACTTGCGGAATTCGGACTACCTACAGATTGCAAAGTACTGTAAGGTTTGCATGGTTGGCTGGACAGAGAAAGCTTGATAAAGCAACACCTTCTTGATTACAGGGCAGCTGTCCATTCAAGGTGACCTCATTTGCTTCAGGACACAATTCGATTGTTCCACCTCGGTGCAGGAAACCAGCCCCAAGCCTTCTGGGAACATGGCAGTTTGCGGACATCTATTGGTCCAAAATCATAATACCTTGTTCAATCTTTGTGCATATATTATATGCAACGTATTAAAGTATATACTGCATATATTATATGACTTATATGATTGTAATGTGTACAGTATATAGTTGTTTTGGTGTTTGCAAAAATCAATGAACACATCATCACAATTTAGAATAATGATGAATGATGTCTGTGGAAAACCCGATGCCATAAACCTATCATTTGGGGATTTGGGGATGGTGTGTACCACCCATTCATGGAGATATTGGGGGCAGGTCCTTCGGCGACTGCGGTACCCTGGATACCGTCAGGCAACGGGTCACCCGCAGAGCGGATGATGCCGCTTAGCGCATGATTTGAAGGGAGCCAGCTGATGATCATCTATAAATATATCCATACTCATATGTATGCACACCCATATATATATATACTGTATAAATACAAACACTTATATGCGTGTGTATTTTGATTTAATGTATAATGTATAGATACATTAAAGCCAAGCAATTAAATGAATGTGTGATCAATATAGTGAGTGGTTTCTGTACGTCGAAATGTATGTCATGGATACATGCACAGGTATAGAATAGATACATGCACACTGTGCGTGTATGTATGCGATTGTATGCATGTATAAGCGGGTGCTTCGTTCGATTTGACATTTATACTTACAAGATCTCACAAGCATATCGAATGATGGAAGTTGTCTTAGGGGCACCAGGCATCACCAGGCTGTCTAGAGCACAAATCCAGAACATGGATGCGAAATGACAGAGATTACGGTGAATCCAACTCGACCACATGTGAAGCAATACAATGGCGGCAGACGAACAAATCCCACCAGGAGATTTCCTAAAACTTGGACAAGGTTTGGTCCTGGTTGATACCCGCTTGCATCTGAAGAGAACATCATTCTGGCGGTTGTGTTTTTGGGGAGAGTGCCTCAATAGCCTTCCCTGTTGTCCAAGGTGTATCCAGTCTCACTCATTCGGCAGTCGTTTTAACCGGATAGCTGCCCTAGGTTTACAAGATCATCGACGAATCTGAGGGGTTCTACATCAACAAGGCCACTTGTCCTTTGGACTTTGGAAGCTGCTTTTGACATGGTGGCGTTCGTGGGCCGAGGTGTCATCTTCATATCGTTCCCAAACAACCATTTGCTTCACCTTTGGCAGAGATGCTGCTAATCAGCGCGAGCCCCTTGTTCTGCAGATGAGAACCGCTTCTTTGGCACATTAATTCCGATGCGACACTGTGGCAAGATGAAATGCTCACAGCTTTCTTTGCGAGACCGACTTGTCAGAATCCAAGCCATCTGGGCAAATCCTGAACATCAGATAATACTGCGCAGGAACCTCCAGAAATCTTCAAAATCACTCTTCAAAATCACACCGTTGTAAGTGCTTCCATTTACCGCGAGTCATGCTCATTGATGACGGCACCTATTATACATATATAATATATACGTCGTTATATATATATATATATATATGTACCAAGACTTACATATTCACGAATTGACCGCATCGGCTCGAACGGCTGCGCCAGTGTTAGGTGGGCTGGCAGTATCACAGCCAAAGTGAAGTTGACGGAGCTTGAAGAGGTGCACAATTAGGGGTGCCCAAAAATAACCCAATGGGAACCAGCAATTTTTTATTCCCCAACAGCAGAAGCTTTGGGGTCTTCAGCCATAGTAAAGGTTTCGGAGCAGACCGGAGCAGCTCCAAAACCCATTTCCCAAGTAAAGGTTCCCAAGTCAAGGTTCCCAAGTAAAGGTTTCCAAGAAAAGGTTCTCAAGTAAAGGTTCCCAAGGTTCTCAAGGTTCCCAAGGTTCCCAAGGTTCCCAAGGTTCCCAAGGTTCCCAAGATTCCCAAGGTTTCCCAAGGTTCCCAAGGCTTCCAAGGTTCCCAAGGGTTCCAAGGTTCCTAAGGTTTCCAAGGTTCCCAAGGTTCCCAAGGTTCCCAAGGGCTCCAAGGTTCCCAAGGTTCCCAAGGTTCCCAAGGTTCCCAAGGGTTCCAAGGTTCCCTCAGTTCCCTCAGTTCCCTCTAGGTTTCCAAGGTTCCCATGGTTGCAAGGTTCCCTCAAGGTTCCCAAGGTTCCCAAGGTTCCGTCAAGGTTTCCAAGGTTCCCAAGTAAACGTTCTCAAGGCTCCCAAGGTTGCATTGTAAAGGTTACCTCAAGGTTGCCTGAAGGTTCCCAAGGTTTCCAAGTAAAGGTTGTCAAGGTTCCCAAGGTTGCATTGTAAAGGTTCTCAAGGTTCCCAAGGTTACATTGTCAAGGTTTCCTCAAGCTTTCCAAGGTTCCCAAGTAAATGTCTCAAAGGTTGCCAAGTAAAGGTTGCCAAGTCAAGGTTCCCAAGGTTGCCAAGGTTCCCAAGGTACCCAAGGTTACCAAGGTTCCCAAGGTTCCCAAGGTTTCCAAGGTTCCCAAGGTTCCCAAGGCTTCCAAGGGTTCCAAGGTTCCCAAGGTTCCCAAGGTTCCCAAGGTTCCCAAGGTTCCTAAGGTTTCCAAGGTTCCCAAGGTTCCCAAGGTTCCCTCAGTTCCCTCAGTTCCCTCTAGGTTTCCAAGGTTCCCATGGTTGCAAGGTTCCCTCAAGGTTCCCAAGGTTCCCAAGGTTCCGTCAAGGTTCCCAAGGTTAGATTGTAAAGTTTCCCTCAAGGTTCCCAAGGTTAGATTGTAAAGGTTCCCTCAAGGTTCCCAAGGTTAGATTGTAAAGATTCCCTCAAGGTTCCCTCAAAGTGCCCAAGGTTTCCAAGTAAAGGTTCTCAAGGTTCCCAAGGTGGCATTGTAAAGGTTTCTATAATTCCCCTGCAGCGTAAGCTTGGGGTCTTCAGCCATAGCAAAGGTCTTGGAGCAGGTCGGAGCAGCGAAATCCGCACTACGCAAGGTTCACAAGCAAGGTTCCCAAGAACAGGTTCACAAGTAAGGTTCCCAAGCACGTTCCCAAGCAAGGTTCCCAGCAACAGGTTCCCAAGCAAGGTTCCCAGCAACAGGTTCCCAGGAACAGGTTCCCAAACAAGTTCCCCAAGAACAGGTTCACAAGATTTCACAAGTAAGGTTCCCGGAAAAAGTTCCCAGGCAAGGTTTCCAGGAAAAGGTTCCCAAGCAAGGTTCCCAGGAACAGCTTCTCAAGCAAGGTTGCTGGGAAGAGGTTCTCAAGCAAGGTTGCCAGGAAGAGGTTTGCAAGCAAGGGTTCCCAGGAAGAGGTTCCCAAGCAAGTTCCCAGGAAGAGGCTCCCAAGCAGGTATCCAGGAAGAGGTTCCGAAGCAAGGTTAAGTTCTTAGGAACCGCTTGCAAGTGCGGTTCCCGAAAACGGTTCCCAAGCAAGGTCCCAGGAACCGTTTCCAAGCAAGGTTCCAAGCAGGAACAAGGCTCGCAGGAACAGGTTCTCAAGCAAGCGTTCCCAGGAAGAGCTGGTTCCCAAGCACTATTTCCAGGAACAAGTTTTCAAGCAAGGTTCGCAAGAACAGGTTCACAAGCAAGGGTTCCAAGAACAGTGCCTCAAGTTCCGAAGCAAGGGTTCCAAGAACAGGTTTCCTTGCAGGGTAGCAAGGTTGGACTAAGCAAGGTCCTTGGGAACAGGTTCCCAAGCAAGGTTTCCACGAACAGGTCCCCAAGCAAGGTTCCCAAGGACAGGTTTGCAAGCAAGCTTTGCAAGAACAGGTTCGGGTTCCAAGAACAAATTCTCTAGGAAGGTTCCGAGCAATAGGTTGCCAGCATGGTTCCCACGAACACGTTCCCAAGCATGGTTTCAAAGCAAGGTTCCTCAGCAAGGCTTTCAATCACAGTTTCACCAGCAAGGTTTCGAATAATAGGTTGACGGGCAAGGTTGTCAAGAAAGGTTCCAAAGCAATGTTGCAAGAAAGGTTCAACGAACAGGTTCCCAAGCAAGGTTCGCAAGAACAGGTTGCTCATGTTCCCAGGAACAGCTTTCCAAGAACAACTTGGACAGCAAAATTTCATAAAATATCAAAGAGCAGCTGCAAGCAAGGTTGGAAGCAATAACAGAATCCCAAGCAAGGTTCCGAAGGACAGGTTCCTAAACAAGGTTCCCAAGCAAAGTTACGAAAAACAGGTTCCCGAGCAAGGTCCCAATGAACAGGTTTGAAGCAAGCAGGCAAAGTTTCCAAGAACAGGTTCCCAAGAGAAAGTTCCCAAGAACAGGTTATCAGGCAATGCTCCCAAGAGCAGGTTCCTAAGAATAGCCTCCCAAGAACAGGTTCCCAAGCAAAGGCTCCCAAGAACAGGTTCCCAAGCAAGGTTCAGATAAACAAGTGTCAAGCAACGTATCCAGGAACAGTTGCCCAGGCAAGGTTCCAAGAACATTGAACAACAGAATACTGCAAAGGTTTCAGAATTGTTCTAATAACGGAACGGAGAGATTGAAGAATTTGTTTTGCTTCAAAAAATGATACGGCACCCGCACATGGATAAAAACACTGGACGACAGCGTGGCCTGAAAGAAAGCAGGAGGGAGGAGACAAGTAAAATGATGATGATGTTGATGATGATGACGACAATGATGATGACGAGGATGAATGGCGATGGAGATGATGATGAATGATAGCTGACGCGGGTCAAATGTCACATATCCACGGTTTCACGCCTTTTTTGTCCCCGCAGAGGGTTTGCTCCAGGGCTGGCACCTGAGCGACAGTCAGAATCAAAAGACATGTTTTTTACACAGCGAAAAAATTACACAGAGAAGGTTTTACACACAGAAGCCTTTACACAGAGAGGGATTTACATAGAGCAGCTTTTACACAGACGCTTTGACATACAGAAGCTTTTTCACAGAAAAGCCTTTTCTAAAGAAGCCTTACCACATGAAGCCTTTACACAGAGCAGCTTTACACACAGACGCTTTTTCACAAAGAAGCTTGTACACACAGGAACTTTAGCGCGCAGATGCCCAAGCTTTTACGCACAGGAGCTTTTGCGCACACACGCCTTACAAAAAGAAGCTTTTAGACACAGAAACTTGTACAGCCTTTTCACAAGAAAGCTTTTACACAGAAGCTTTGCACAGAGATGCCTTTACAAACAGAAGCTTTTACACACAGAAGCTTTTACTCGGAGAAGCCTTTACAAACAGAGCAGCTTTTACTCACAGAAGCTTTTCCACAGAGAAGATTTTGCACAGAGAAGCTTTCTCACAGACAAGCGTTTGCGGGAAGGAACTTTGCGCACAAACGGTTTTTACATACAGCAGCTTTCACACAGAGAAGCCTTGCGCGGACCAGCTTTTATACTCAGGTTTGTTTTCACAGACCAGCGTTTACGCGGAGCAGCTTTTACACACCGAAGCTTTGACGTAGAGAGGCCTTTACACAGAGAAGCTTGTACACACAGAAGCTTTTACACACAGACGCCTGTACACAGAGCAGCTTTGACACACAGACGCTTTACACAGAGAAGCCGTTACACAGAGCAACTTTTACACTGAGCGGCTTTTGCACACAGACGCCTTTACACAAAGAAGCTTTTCTACACAAACGCTTTTACACATAGAGGCCTTTACACAGAAGCTTTTACGCACAGGAGTTTTTACACAGAAGCTTTACACAGAGAAGCTGTTACACAGAGAAGCCTCTACACAGAGCATCTTTTATACACAGAAGCATTTACACGCAAAAGCTTTACACACACACACACGCCTTTACACACAGAGCTTTTACACATAGAAGCTTTTACGCATAGAAGCTTGTTCACAGAGCAGCTTTTACACACCGAAGCTTTTACACAGAGAGAGGCCTTTGCACAGAGCCGCTTTTACAATCTTATATGCGCAGAAACTTTAAACACGCAAATGCCCAAGCTTTTACACAGACAGGTCTTTACACAGAGGCATTTACACAAAAATTCTTCACACAGATGCGGCAGATGCTTCTACACACAGAAGCTTTTGAACACAGATGCCTTTACACAAAGAAGCATTTACCCAGAGATGCTTTGACATATACACGCCTATACACACAGAAGCTTTTAGACACAGATTGTTCTCAGAGAATCACATAAGCTTTGACACTGAGAAGCCTTTACACAGAGAATCTTTTACACACAGAAGGTTTTACACACACACACAACTTTTCCACAGAAGCTTTTACACAGAGAAGCTTTTACGCACTGGAGCTTTTACACACAGATGCCTTTGCACAGAAGCTTGTACACACGGAGGCTTTTACGCACAGAAGCTTTTGCACAGAGAAGCATTACACAGACGCTTTCCCACAGAAAAACCGATTCCACAGAGCAGCTTTTACACGCTTCAAAAAATCGCAATTTAACTTCTTAAGTTTTTGACGTTCGGCCATCATATCGTGCGAAAGGATGCGAAAGGGTTGCATCCGGCGTTGGAAAATCGCAATTTTACACCAGCTTTATTTCGCGCGAAACCGTTGTGCCTGACGTTTCAAAATGGATAAAGTCGCAATTTTACACCAATTCTTGAACGTTTGCATCTGGCATTAAAATATCACAGTTTTCCCACAGTTATTGCCATTTGACTTTCGTGCCACGCTTGCATCTGGATTTTCAATCACAATATTACACCAGTTTTTGACGGTTGACCCTCGTTTCGTGCGAAGGGGCTGCGCCGGGCCTCACCAAATTTTCATTTTGCCACATGTTTGGATGTCCGACCTGCGCGATCTGTGTAGAGGTTTGCCCGTGCCCAAAAGAAATTCACATTCCACTACATGTTTGTGCGTCTGAAACGCACGATCTCCGTAGACAGTTGCTGCGGGCGAAGCCTTTCCCCACACCACATGTTTGCCCATCCGACACGCGCGATCTCCACAGAGGGTTGCCCAAGGACAAACAAGACCCGCATTTCGCCACACGTTTGGGTGTCCGACACGCTGCAGAGGGTAACGGTTCGTAAGCCACTGCCTGGCTGTCCCTGCCGCCAGAGAGAAATAGAAGAACTGGAGAAGTCTGATTTTGCAGGAGTTCAGATTCAGTTTGACCACCTGCAGTTAGCTGAACGCCTGTGTAGCAAATCCTGTGTAACAATTTCTGTGCAAATGACCTTGCAGGAGCCGTGTAGGAGTTCAAGTAGAAGTGGATCACCTGCAAGCCAACTCCTGTGTACATGACATTTTCCATCATTTTCCAGTTTTGTAGGAGTTCCCTAGAAGTTGATCACCTGTAGCTGATGTTTTGTGATGTTGTCTATTTTTTAAATGTTGAGGATGATGTTGTAAGTGATGTAAGGTTAGATCGACTAGAAGATGTAGGTGATGTAGAGGATGTAGTGATATAGATGATGATGTAGGTCATGTATGCGTTGTAGATGATGTATGTCATGTAGATGACGTTAATGGAAAAAGTTTGTGTAGGTGATGTCGATGGTGTAGGTGAGATAGATGATGCTGATGATGATGATGGTGGTGATGATGATGATGATGTAGAGAAGATGGTGCAGACGATGTAGGGGATGTGGGTGATGTAGAGGATGTAGTGATGTAGATGATGGTGTAGGTAATGTATGTGTTGCAGAAAAGGCATGTCATATAGATGAGGCTGATGGACAAGTGTGTAGGGTGTGTAGGTAATGTAGGTGAGACAGATGTAGGTGGTGATGATGATGATGACGATGACGATGACGATGATGATGATGATGATGATGATGATGTAGATGTAGTTGTAGATGTAGAGAAGATGGTGTAGAAGATGGTATCCAAGATGTAGGTGATGTAAAGGACACAAGAGATGTGGATGATGTATGTTAGGTAGATGAAGTGAAGAGTGAGGTGGACAGCAGTTCTTTGAGAAAAGCCCTTCTCACAAGCTTCGGGAATATGGGTCCTTCAGCTTCCACAGTATTGCAAACGCTTTTGGAAAACGTTTTTTCCTAAAGCGTTTGTGCCGTGATTGCGCCTTGCATGCCCGACCTCTAGAGTAAGAAGGGCTGGGCAATAAACATACTTCACCCATTGCGTGTTTGGTAGCTGTTTTTGTTTCTGGCTGTTGGGGATACTCCTTGGGCTTATTTTATTGTTGGCGAACCACTGGTGATAGGGGGAAATCGGCTCATTATGGCTCATTATTATATAATTATAATATATCAATCTGTATTTTCCCCAACAGCGTAAGCTAATGGGGTCTTCAGCCCAGTAAAGCTCCGGTGTGCACTGGTGCAGGCGCCGGTTCAGTTTCAACGAGGTTCCGGAGAAGGTTCCGAAGGTTCCGGAGAAGGCTTTGGTGCAGCCAGGTCAGGTTCCACAGGGTTCCAAAAGGTTCGGAGAAGGTTCCGGGAGGCTTTGGTGCAGAGCCAGGTCAGGTTCAACAGGGTTCCGCAGAAGGTTCCGGAGAAGGTCTGGGAGGCTTTGGTGCAGCCAGGTCAGGCTCAACAGGGTTCCGGAGAAGGTTCCGGAGAAGGTTCCAGGAGGCTTTGGTGCAGAGCCAGGTCAGGTTCAACAGGGTTGCGGAGAAGGTTCCGGTGAAGGTCTGGGAGGCTTTGCTGCAGAGCCAGGTCAGGTCCAACAAGGTTTCGGAGAAGGTCTGGGAGGCTTTGGGGCAGAGCCAGGCCAGGCTCAAGGTTCCGGAGAAGGTCTGTTGGTGCAAAGCCAGGTCAGGTCCCACAGGGTTCCCAAGAAGGTTCTGGAGAAGGTTCCGGGAGGCTTTGGTGCAGAGCCAGGTCAGGTTCAACAGGGTTCCGCAGAAGGTTCCGGAGAAGGTCTGGGAGGCTTTGGTGCAGCCAGGTCAGGCTCAACAGGGTTCCGGAGAAGGTTCCGGAGAAGGTTCCAGGAGGCTTTGGTGCAGAGCCAGGTCAGGTTCAACAGGGTTGCGGAGAAGGTTCCGGTGAAGGTCTGGGAGGCTTTGCTGCAGAGCCAGGTCAGGTCCAACAAGGTTTCGGAGAAGGTCTGGGAGGCTTTGGGGCAGAGCCAGGCCAGGCTCAAGGTTCCGGAGAAGGTCTGTTGGTGCAAAGCCAGGTCAGGTCCCACAGGGTTCCCAAGAAGGTTCTGGAGAAGGTTCCGGGAGGCTTTGGTGCAGAGCCAGGTCAGGTTCAACAGGGTTCCGCAGAAGGTTCCGGAGAAGGTCTGGGAGGCTTTGGTGCAGCCAGGTCAGGCTCAACAGGGTTCCGGAGAAGGTTCCGGAGAAGGTTCCAGGAGGCTTTGGTGCAGAGTCAACAGGGTTCCGGAGAAGGTTCCCGGAGAAGGTTCCAGGAAGCCTTGGTGCAAAGCCAAGTCAGATTCAACGGGTTCTGGAGAAGGTTGGTGCAGAGCCAGGTCAGGTTCAACAGGGTTCTGGATAAGGTTCCGGAGAAGTTTCCAGGAAATTTGGTGCAAAGCCAAGTCAGGTTCAACAGGGTTTTGGAGAAGGTCTGGGAGGCTTTGGTGCAGAGCCAGGTCAGGTTCAACAGGGTTCGAGAGAAGTTTCTGGAGAAGGTTCCAGGAAGCCTTGGTGCAAAGCCAAGTCAGGTTCGCAACGGGTTCCGGAGAAGGTTGCGGAGAAGGTCCCGGAGAAGGTTTTTGGAATTTTTGGTGCAGGGCCAGGTCAGGTTCAACAGGGTTTCCAGCGTTTGGCTTCGCGGCACGCTTCAGAAAGATTTGTGAAAATAAAACTTAATAAAACGTTGCGGCTGTTGGGGATACCACCGAAGTTTTCTTTTTTTTTTTGGTGTGTGTGTGTGCGTATTTGTATCATGTGCGGTGTTGGAGCTAAACCCACAGAGAGGGATATAGAATGATATATATATATATATATATTACACATTACACGTATATCATTGCAGACTTACTTCAGTTTTTCTGACGTTCTTCACGTATATTCAAGCCAGTCATGTCGCTGCACGTTTCGTCCCGGCCGGCCAGGCTTTCATGAAAGAAGCCAAAGAGCGCGGAATGAACGGCCTCGAAGGGCATCCAGTGTCTGGCAGAACAAGGAGCAGTTTCTCATTGTTTTCAATTTCGATTTCTATCAATGTGTCATATCATGTGTCATGTCCAATCCCGGGTTGTTGAATTCTTGAAGGATTTTGTTTGGCAAATTTCAGGCTCGAAGTTTCGCCTCTTAGGCATTCGGTGGCATCCGCATTTGCCTTTACAATGGCTTGCCTGATAAAGCTGTTGATGAGGCACCCGCGATGAGAGGCAGTATTTTTAAATCGCTTCCATCAGTTGCAAACTGATGCAAATTGTGTATATATATATATTTGTGTGTGTGTCTGTTATCTCATATGCATATGTAATCATATGTGTATATACATATATGCACGAGTGGATTCTGGGTCAGATACTATCCAAAGGTTCGGATCAGCGTTGCAGAATCAGCGTCAAAGACAATCCCGGATCAGCATCGCGGATAAATGGTCGGGATGAGCGGGATGGTCGGGATGAGGGTTTCTTTAGGGTTTGTTTCTATGGGTTTCTTTAGGGTGTCCATAGGTTTTTTTAAAGGGTTTCTTGAGGGATCTTTAGGGTTTCTTCAGGGATCTTTAAGGTTTCTTTTAGGGTTTCTTTGGGGCTTCTTATAGAGTTTCTTTTGGGGTTTCTTTTCTTTTTTTCCGGGTTTCTTTTGGATTTCTTTGAGGGTTTCTTTGGGGTTTCTTTAGTAGAAGTACTACAGGGGATAATGCATCCGTATAGTGCCAGCCAGTGTCATCCTTTGCGTCCGTAGTTCGCAGTGTATCACCAACATTCTATGCATATTGGAATTCATAACCAACATGGCATTTTGCCAAGCAATTGTATATGCCAAAGGCATCTTCCGGAAATTCAGTTTGCCTGTGCTGACATAAAGAATGTCCACTTGTTTTACATAATTTCGTCCTCCAGCAGGTTGGGTGCAACCGATGAAATCCCAAACCTGGATGTTTGGCCCAAGATCGCATTGCAAAACGGACGCTCAGTGTCTTTTCGCGGCGGGCTTGAACCATCAGATTTGGGTGATAGCTTCGGTTTCCCCAAATCTTTTGGTTATCAGCCGTATCGCCATTTTTCCTCGTCGTTACAATTTCTTCAGTTGTGGACAACTCGTATTTTGACGCGAAGCTTGAAACTCTGGGAAAGGAGATTTGCGACGTGCTTTGGCGGGCATTTCATTCGAGGAGAGGTGGGCGACGTGGTTTTTCGATGTTTTTTTTCGCGAAAGGTGAGACAGTTGACCGAGGGTTTGGAAATATACTTCAACAAATATCCTTGATCAAGAGGGTCGAGCCTACAGCGAAAGGTGGGGTTACAGGATCGCGGATACAGTCTTGCAAGGTTCAGAAACTTGGGAAATCCAGTCCTCGGACGAGGAAGCGGAGGTGATCTTGGTTGAAGAGCCTGAGAAAAAGGCAAGATCTGTGGAATCTGCAGGGAAGGCCAAAGTGCCGGCTATCTCAAAAGCCGTGGCGGCATCTTCTTCGAGCATTGGAGCAATTCCAAAGAGTTCTTCATCGGTCGTGGGAGCGATCCCGAAAGCCACAGCTGCATCTGTGGGCCATTCCTGTCGAGCTGAGGAGGAAACTTCGTTCCCGAGATTTTCGGAAGGGGGGTCATCATCATCTCGTGTTGGAGCAAGGCTTAAGATCGCGGCTAAAGCAAGGCCAAAGGGGTCGGGGGCAATATCATCAAGTGAACCTGCTGCGGCCAAAGAGTTGCCAGTTTCTCGATTAAAGCCCAGGACAACAGTTCTGCCGGATACGGTTTTGTGGTTTGATCGCCCATTATGGCACTGGTTCCAGCGAGCCAGGGTGGGGTTGCATCTACGCACGCTTCACCAGATAGCCAAATGAATGCAGAATCAACACCAGTTCCTCAAGTAGAAACCACCAGCACAGACAATTCTATGAGTTCAATTTCCCATCCAGGACCTAGTGACTAGGTTACCCTTAATAGAGTTTTGAATCAACAACTGAATGTACTTGCTGCTGATCCAATGGTTATTGCACAAGCTTCAGAAGAGGTGGCAAGGGCTAGATCCGAAACCCAAAGGATTGTTGCACAAGCCTCCAATGAAGTAGCAAGGATTCAATCCGAATCCCAAAGAGTTGCCGTAGCAGCGGAATTTCCAAGTCCATCAAACTACGGAGGATGCAAGACAAGCGGTTGGTAGGACGATCATGGAAGTGATCTAGGATCTCACAAGTGACCCAAGCTGCCGAAGTTAGGGTTTCAGATGCTCAGAGCCAAGCACAGTCCATGATTAGTTTAGCCAATTTGGCAGGCAGCCGATGCAAGGGTTTCGGAAGCCCAATCAAAAGCCAATTCAGCAGTTGAGGAAATTCAGAATCAAGCTCTTTCTCGTATTCAAAGTTTGGAGTCCTCTTTGCAACAACAATTGGAAGAAAATAGGCAATTGAAGTCATTGATGGAATCCGTGCAACAGGATTTTCGATTACAACTGTTGGCATTACAAGCTAGGAGTAACAGAATCGAATCCTTAGAGAACCGGGTCCAAAGCCAGCCATGGAGCACAGGCCCAGGGCCAGTCATCAACGTTTGTTGATCAAGTCCAACATGCTACGGGTTTGAGTTGCCAATCGCCTCAGGATGCAACCAGCAAGCCTCAAAGAGCTCCGAGACGCCTAGACGCGCCGGAGATCGGAGGGAATTGTTTGGAAGTCCACAACAGGGGGATCAGTTGGTGCAGTTTTCCGGTAAGATTTTGTCAAGAGGATTTTTGGTGAAGGAAGTATTGTCCCGAGTCCCAATCAGCACAAGTCCCAATACAAGAATTTGTGCCTTCTCAAGGGGGATTTCAGCTAAACCAACCACAACCTTCCTCGAGCATAGGGCTTCAGTTAGGAAGAGTTCACGGCATGCGTTCAGGGCCAAGCTTTGGGGCAAGGGTCATCCCATCAAAGCTCTAGGAACTCGTCAGTTCAGAGTTCCCCCAAGAAACCATCCGGATCACCTCCTGGTTCATCGTCATCTTCATCTTCGAACAGCAAGGGAGGGGGAGGAGGTGGAGGACCACCCACACCGCCGAGGGGTTCGCCACATGGATCAAGGGGTTCGCCGCAAAGGCCAAACGATTCAGGTCCATATCTTGTTGAAAAGGGGATGATGAGAGTCAAACAACATGACAATTTCAAATTACCTGCTCTTCCAAAAACAGCAGCTGATGCAAGGGCGTTTCGTAATTCGACGTTCAATCTGGTTTGTAAGTTGGCAAAGGGTGATGAATGCAAAGTTTTCGCCTGGGTTCAAGAGTGCGTTGACCCAAAAGCGTACTCGAAACTTGAAGATTCCAACCCATTTCTGTTGTTGGATCGTGTGCTAGGCAGTAAACTGCTAGAGCTTGCCAAAGGTACAAGGTTTGCTTTGCACTTCCAAACGATTCAGGAAACTGCTCAGAAGTTGGGAAGACAACTCAAGGGAAGGCAGTTGTTGTGGGTGATCTTTGAGCGTTACAAGATGGAACAGGATAGGGGCGTAGCGCTAACTCAAAACCACTTGTTGGACTTGAAGATGAATGGATCACATTTGAAAGCTCTCGAGGACTTCAGGAACAAGTTTGACTTCATTGCTCAGGCCCTGGAAGTCGCAGATCGTCCGTCAGATACTGCAATACCCAGTTTGCTGTTGAGCAGTTGAAACCACATCCCAAAATGCAGTTAACAAGCGACAAATTCAGAAACGCCTCGAGTTCATCCTCGAAAAGGACATGGGCATGGCTATATGAGAAACCGGTAGAGGCAATTGAATGAAATTCACCAGTTAGATGAAAACACTGTGAGCATTGAAGAGTCATTAGAGAACATTGGCAACAAGGAAGCACCAGCTGCTCCTGCGAAGCAGGAGAAAGACAAAGACAAACTTCCAAATGAAAAACAAAAATGAAAGCAAATCATCTAAGCCCGACAAGCCTGACAAATCCAAGGACAAGCAGCCAGCCAAATCTTCGAAGAAGCCCAAATCTTCAAAAGAAGATGTTAATGCGGCAGCAGCCATGGGTAAAGGTAAAAGGCAAGGATGACAAGCCCAAAAAGGACAAAGACAGGGACAAAGACAGGGACAAAGACAAGAAAAAACAGCCTTGCATGTATTTTGGTTATCATAGCTGTTCCAAGGGTAAAGATTGCCCGTACTTGCATGATCCCAACAACAAGTATCAGGGTCCTAAGCCAAAGGGTCTTCAAAAGGGTTCCAGTTCAAGTGCCGGTGCAGCAACTGTCTTCGCAGCGGCTTGCTTGGCCTCTCAGGCCGAACCTGCATTGGGATCGGTTGCGAGAAGCTCCAATGCTCCGCAACCACGGGATGCCGGGGATTGTCTTGTAGGGGATCCGGAAATCATCCGCAGTAAGCATGTTGTCAAGAACACAGCCAAAAGTGCAGCTAAGGGTTTGCTCAAGTCGTCCAAGTCTAAGTCCAAAGGGCGTTCATGTTTTCCAAGGGTTTCAGTCTTTGAGAAAGCTGTCAAGGTGTTTTCAGCCATGGCCGCATGTGTCAAATCCAGTGCTACCACAAGTCAACCAAGAGTTTCTTCTGGATATTTTTGCGGGTCGAAGTAGGAACCTTTTTTCATACAAGTCAATGCCAGGCTGTTTCAATGAACATGTGACCTTTGCTCCGGAAACGGTACAAGTCGCCACTGGAGGTGGAGTTGTCCGAGTGCCACAGCTTTGAACTTAGAAGGCCAGTTGTCCGGGAAGAACACGTTCTATGCTCTCAAAGATTGCCCGCATGATTTGTCGGTGGGGATTCAAGTGGAGCAACATAGACCAGGTCAGTTGGCCATACCTAATCAAAGCAGATAGGGCCAAAGATGTTGTTCACCATGTTCTGGAGTCAGCCAAGATCTATGCAAGTAGAGTTGATGAACATGTCCCAATCCTATTGGAATCAGTTTGTGTTGCTATGCCAGCATCTACAGGCGGGAGTAGTGGATCCAAAGAACCAATCTCATCAGAAGCTCCTGTGCCGTTGCCAAGTCCGATCCCTGTGGAGTCTGAAGCTCCCAGAACACCTGTGCATCCAAGTGATTTGCCTAGGTCATACAAACCCCTAGAATCGGCTAAAGAAGTGTTACCACATTTTGGGGATGAGGTGGATGAGGTTTTGAAAGCTGAAGGGATAGTCAGGGAACTTGGGGATGAACCTATTGATTCAGATGATGAAGAGTCTAATCCTTGCGCACCAGCTTTTAGAGAAAAACTGCAAAAGGAAGCCAAATCTTCCAAGCATGCCTTGACGCACTTTCCCAAAAACAGATATTGTGAAGTTTGTCGCCGGTCCAAAATGCTCACAAAGTTCCATTGTAAGAAGGGGTTAGAAGTAGACCCCGATGAAATTCCACCTCTCCATTTCGGCCACAAGTTGAGGGTAGATCACATTGTTAGGTAGAGATTTGGCAAAAGGTAGCGAAGGGGAACAAGCATGTTTAGTATGTTATGATGAGTACTCGGGTTGCTTTGGGGCATTCCCTCAAACCAAGAGGGATACCGTTGCCAATGTCCATTCACTTCAGAAGTTTGGAGGGACAAAAGATACCGATGCCAATGTCCATTCACTTCAGAAGTTTGGAGGGACAAGAGCTAACGGCAAAGCACTCTGTGTCGTTAAATCAGACACGGCGCCGGAATTGACCGACGCAGTGAAGTATCTTGGATGGCTGCCGGATCCGTCGGTCCCAAACGATGAAGTTCATAATGCCAAGCTAGAGCGAGGCATCAGATCCATCAAAGAAGGGGTTCGAGCAATTTTGCTCAAGTCGGGTTTGCAACATGAATTCTGGCCTCGGGCCATCGAGTACTTTTGCACAGCCCATTCCTTTTGCAATCAAGCCGTTGTGCATCCAAACGATTCGGATGAAGTCAAAACCAAAAAGAGTACCGAGACTTGTTATGAAGCAGCGTCAGGTGAAGTGTTTTCAGGCCTCAAATTGCCATTTGGTTGCCTAGTGTACTACAAGCCACCAAAGCATCGTGAACTTGCAGCATTCGAACCAAGAACTCTTCCTGGTATATTTGCTGGATGGCGAATCGATGCTGGCTTTGTGCACAGGGACATACACCTTGTTTTGGATTATGAAAGTCTTAGGACAAATGCCAAGGGGTATGGACGACGACTTCAAGTTTATCAAAGTGAACTTGTTGATCCAAATAATGGCAATTGGGTATTTCCATTGTTTGAGGCAAACATGTCAAAACTTCGCTTGTTTTCAGCAAAGCCTTCATTGCCAGTTTTGGACCCGAAGGAAGCGCTTCCATTCGAAGGAGTGGCACCATCGACTCCAGCTCGAAAAAGACGGGCATATGTCACACTCGAGGGGGCCATAAAATATGGTAAAACTCCAGGGTGCAAAGGCTGTGAAAGAATTGCTGAGGGAGTTCCCCACACTGAAGCATGCCATGAAAGGTTTCGTACTTGAGCCGCTAGATCCACACCATCAATTTCTGTCCCAGAGACGCCAAGGGTTCCATTGCCAGGCACTCCAGTAGGTAGAGCAGCATTCGTTCAAGGTCCGGGATGCCCTCATGCACCGGACCCCCAAGCGTTTGCAGCCGCATTTGCTAGTAGCCATGATGGAGCAGCATTCGAGCAAGAATCCGACTATTGGAGTTTTGGCAATGATAGGAAAGCATGGAAAAGGGTCCATATCCGTCCAAGGAAGCGGTTGTAGTGTCCATTTGATTCCAATGATGTTTTCACAGAACGGGTAATCGAATGGCATTGTAGAAACCGTAAATCAACTCATAAAGACAATTGGCAGAAAACTTCATACCAGGGGATCAGTCAGAGAAGCTGGGTTGGTTGCACTTGGTTTTATCCAAAGAAGCCGGTCGACGCAGACAAAGCCCAACTCTTTGCCATGCAGTCCAACGTTGCGAACTATCCAACTTTGAACAAGCCAAGAAAGTTCGAAGCCATGTTTGCAGCTTTGACCGCCGAAGCAGAGGACAAGCATGAAGCAGCCGAGTTTCTGACTAAGGTCACTCGAGATGTGGATCAAGGTAAACCACCGGGAGCTAGGAAAAAGAGGTCAGAGAACCCAACATGTTTTGAATTTTGTTGTTCAAAAGGTTCATCACTTGGAGAGGTAAATATGAACCGAGGAATCAACCATTTCAGGTTGTCAGCAGACGTTTGCAACATGGCAGACGACGCCGAAGTAGATTCTCTCATTCAAATAATAGAACAATTTCCAGGTGCAGACATTTTCGGTTCTCTCCCTTGTCACCCTTGGTCAAAGCCTTGGTCAGCTTGGCAAAGACTCAACCAAAAGCAGCATGGTAAAAAGTTTCGAAAGTTGCTCAAGAAACAACGCAATGTTTCTATGAAGATCTTGGGAAACTACATGAGGTGCGCCGAAGTCATCTTGAAAAATGCTGGCCATTGCGCATATGAGTGGCCAAAAGGTTGCGACGATTGGAAAATTCCTGAACTGATGGCCTTTTGCAAAAAGCATTCGCTGTTTGTCGCAGAACCTCAGGGATGTGCATTTGGTTTGAAGGATGCCAATGGGAATCCACACCTCAAAAGCTGGTGGGTTGCCACGTCATGTTGGAAATTGGCGCTGAATTTAGATAGCAAACGCTGTACTCATCCACCTGGATTTAAACATGCACCACTTGAAGGAAGCACAACCAAAAAGTCAGCCCTCTACACTGAAGAGATGGCTCAATGCATTTCGCATAGCTTGTACGGGCATGTAGTTCCAGCAATGCCTGTGAAAGCTTTCCAACAGGAGCCTCACAATCAAGGGGGCGAAGGTCCTTTTGCAGCCGTGCACCAGGTCTTGAATCGCAATGAATGGCATTTGCATGAGGGTTGGGATAAAGCAATTCAAAAAGAATTCCATGGACTACTAGTCACGAATGTTTGGTCATATGATGAAGTGATTTCTAGAGATGACTTGATAGCCAGATCAAAGAAATCTCAAAAGCCAATCAATATTGGTCGTTTGATGGCAAGTCTGAGTATCAAAAACTACGAAGTTCCTTCACTGAGAAAGCTGAAGGCAAGAGTGGTATTCAGAGGCTACCGAAGACAACACTTTGGCAGTCCTACAAGAGTCTGACGTTAATCCCACAGGGTTGGTTGGGTTAAATGCAAACTTAATGCTTGCTTGTTGTCCAGGCAACCATTCAAGTCAGTCAGACGTTGTGAGAGCTTACACGCAAGCATATCTCAAAACCACAGATGAGACGTGGGTTGAATTATCCAATGAACTGACACCTCCTGAGCACTCCAAAATGAAACGGCCATGCGTAAGAATGATCAAAAGTTTATATGGTCACCCCGAAAGTGGTTATCATTGGGATTGTCGTTTTAAGGAGGTTATGCGGGAGATGGGAGGAGTTCACATGTCTGGTTTCCAAAGTTCGTATTGATTTGAGACAAGCAGGCTCTTACTCACGTCATACGTTGATGACATGATCTTGAGTGGACCCAGCAATTCACACAAGACCTTTTGGGATGAGCTGCAAAAGCATTTGGAAATTGAAGAACCAACAAAAGTGGAAAGGATTCTTGGAAGAAAACAAGAATTGTTTTCAGATGAAAAGCGTTCATACGTAGCAATGAGCATGGAGGAATTCCTGCAATCCTCGTGCGAAACGTATGAAAACTTGTCCAAGACCAAGATTAAAGAATCCATTACCCCATACATGCCGGAAGGAAGCATCAATACTTCCGATTGGCAGTCGGGAGGCATGTTAGCCGAGAGTGCCAGCAAATTCCCTGGGCCGCTAGACTCTGCAGGCCAGACTTCATGAAAGTCATTGGTGATTTGACCAAGAGGCTCACAACTTGGTCATTAGCAGATGACAAGCGACTTCATACTTAGATTGATGGGTTATGCAAAGCATTCTAAAGGTTATAAGCTTCTTGGAAAAGTCGGTGGTTCAAGTGAGGACCTAAAACTTTGCCTTTACACTGACGCAGACCACTGTTCAGGTATCGACCACATCAAGTCGACATCGGGAATGATGATGGCTGTTGAAGGCCCCAACACTTGGTTCCCACTGACATGAGCATCACGCCGGCAGACCGCCACAGCCCGCAGCACCACTGAAGCTGAGATGATCAGCAAGGAAGCTGGTTTGTTCTGTGAAGCATTGCCAACTCAAGAGTTCCTTGAACACATTCTCAATAGGCCAGTTGTCCTTGAATGTTTACAATATATATAATTCTGCAGTAATTGCAATAGTAGCTGCCGGTTATTCACCAAAACTGAGACATATGTCCAAAACGCAAGGAGGATAGAACTCGGATCAGTGTATGAAGTTTTTGAAGAAGCGGGCACGGTTCTTTTGTACATTTAAAACTGATAAACAGAGAGCTGATCCATTAACCAAGAACTCGATGCCACAGTCCTGGCCAGAAGCACTAAACCTGTTAGGTATTACTCCTTTAGAGCATTGATCATTGGAAACAAGCATTTTCGCTGCAGGTTGGGTAGCCCCAGATTAACAACTCTGTGTGAATGCATCCAATCCAAAGTTCCAAGAAGGGGGAGTAGAAGTAATGCAGGGAATAATGCATCCGTATAGTGCCAACCAGTGTCGCCCTTTGCGTCCGTAGTTCGCAGTGTATCACCAACATTCTATGTAGACTGGAATTCATAACCAACATGGCATTTTGAAGGCATATTCCGGGAATTCAGTTTGCCTGTGCTGACATAAAGAATGTGCACTTGTTTTACATAATTAGTCCTCCAGCAGGTTGGGTGCAACCAATGAAATCCCAAACCTGGATGTTTGGCCCAAGATCGCATTGCAAAACGGACGCTCAGTGTCTTTTCGCGGCGGGCTTGAACCATCAGATTTGGGTGATAGCTTCGGTTTCCCCAAATTCAAATATTTTTCTTTTAGGGTTTCTTTCGGGAGGGTCGGGATGGTCGAGGTGGTCGGGATGGTCGGGATGGTCGGGATGGTCGGGATGGTCGGGACGGTCGGGTTAATCCGCAAGGTTGCGATCTATACCATCCCGAGCCAACTAATATAGATTCCGATCCAGCCGTGCCGATCCGACCCATCTAGATTCCGACCCAACGACCCCAATCCAACCAACACCCGTGATTATGTTTATTTATTTATGGATTTTTTCTTTTTTTACATGCATGCATGCATGCATGCATGCATGCATGCATGCACACACACACATACCTACCTACCTAACCTAACCTACCCTAACCTACCCTACCCTAACCTACCTACCTACGTACCTACCTACCTACAGACCTACAGACCTACAGACAAACAGACAGACAGACATACATACATGCATGCATTCATACAGACACACATACAGACACACTTGCTCAGAAACATCTTATCGAATTACTGATGTGGAATGCATCGCACGTGCAAAAACACTTCAGTTAAACCTGACAGGAATGGTTTGATGATTGGAAGTGAGAAACTGTGCGAGAAAATCTTTCTACGTCCTTGCTCGAAGGATTTACTTGTTCTGATGCAGCTCAGTCAGATTGCGAAAACCGTACGGTAGTTTGAAAACTGTTGGAAAAACGACATGCCGGTTCTTGGCTTAGCCGGTTGCCATTGACGAAAAACTGGAAAATTGCAGGTACGTTTTCACAGGAACATTGCAGCGTCTTCGTTGGCCGCTGACTGCAATGTTCCCCAGCGGCCCCCTGCTGAATTGGAAAATCCAGTTCATGATTGAAAAAACGAGTCAGTAGAAACGAAACAGCCAAACCATCGCTTAGAAGTTTTACATCTTTTCAGATGATCCACACACACACACCCTCCCGCAGGAGGGTGAAAAATTAAGGTCCGGACAGTGAAATGAAAATGAAAATGAAGGGAAATGAAGATGAGGTGAAGATGAAAATGAGATGAAAGTTACTTAACCAGGACGCGAAGAGGGGAACGCAACGCAGAGGGAAAGAGAAAACACCAACACAAGGAAACCTGGCCCACCACGGGCAAACCCTGAAAAGGCAAGGAAAAAGAAAAGCGAAGGCAGACGGAAACGGAAAAAGACCAGCGGAGGGGGGGGAAGGACGGACGCGCCTGAACCAACCTACCACAGCGAACCTACACCTACCTCAGCACGCGCAGAACCCAACCTACCTGGAGAGAGGAGAACGCAGGAACACATGAAATAAGGGACCCATGGGGAACTAGTTAATGAAAATATGCATCCACATTGCATGCAAGATTCGTGATAAGGCTCAAAGGCCCTCGGCATTCAAGTCACAACCCTCTGGACGGCTTACGTGTTCAACCCCTGAATTAGGTGCACAATTTCAACCTCACCGAGAAACCAAAAAAGAAAGAAACCACACCTTGAAAGCATGTCCTGTTACCTGATCATGTGTAAATGGCTGCGGAGTGGCTGTCTCTTGAAACAACAGGAAGGTTGTTGTCGCAGCTTAAGACGATGCATTGGCTGTCCAATGAAAATGGTGAGGCCAGGAAAAGCGGCCAGCTGTTCAACACATCGACATCGACAAATGAGAAAAGGAAAAGGGTGAGGCCAAGCACAGCGGCCAGCGGTTCAACACAACGACATCGACGGGTGAGACAAGGAAAAAAGGCCGGCTGTTCACTTTACTTAAACGAATTACTAATTCAAAAGTGTAAATTCAGACATCGTTTTACCGTCAATTGTTAGCCTAGAAAGGCTTTCCCCGAAGGGCTCATACCACCTTGACGGATATAGGCATGAGTGACACACTTGCTCAGAAACATCTTATCGAATTACTGATGTGGAATGCATCGCACGTGCAAAAACACTTCAGTTAAACCTGACAGGAATGGTTTGATGATTGGAAGTGAGAAACTGTGCGAGAAAATCTTTCTACGTCCTTGCTCGAAGGATTTACTTGTTCTGATGCAGCTCAGTCAGATTGCGAAAACCGTACGGTAGTTTGAAAACTGTTGGAAAAACGACATGCCGGTTCTTGGCTTAGCCGGTTGCCATTGACGAAAAACTGGAAAATTGCAGGTACGTTTTCACAGGAACATTGCAGCGTCTTCGTTGGCCGCTGACTGCAATGTTCCCCAGCGGCCCCCTGCTGAATTGGAAAATCCAGTTCATGATTGAAAAAACGAGTCAGTAGAAACGAAACAGCCAAACCATCGCTTAGAAGTTTTACATCTTTTCAGATGATCCACACACACACATCCATACATCTATCCATCCATCCATCCATCCATCCATACGTACGTACATACATACATACATACATACAGACACACACACATCCATACATCTATCCATACATACATACATACGTACGTACGTACATACACATTGTAAGAGTATAATATGTGTGTGTGTGTTGTTCGTTGTGTGTTGTTCGTTTTTCCCTTCCTTTCCTTTCCTTGCCTTTCCTTTCCGTCCACTCCATCCCCTTCCCCAGACACTGTTGGTGCCTCGCACGGGCAGGTGCTCCTTCTCTTGCAGGATTTTGCCGTGGCCTTCGGTGGGAAAGCCATTTGCGCGTTCAAACACGGTGGACTTTGTAACTGCAAGGCCCGCCTTTTTCCAGCATATACGTAAGTAGTCTGTGTTTACCTCGTGATGGAAAAAGGTTCATTCCTTCCAGTGAAATATGAATGTATGCCACCCGGTATTTTGCAGTGTGACTGTGGAGACCTAGTTTAGTGGCAGCCTGTGAAAGTCACAAGCTCGCATTCGCAGCAGAATGGACACCATTTGTTTGCTGCAGGCCTGTCAGTTCGACAGGGAAGCAAGCACCATGGCAAGATTGGTTGCTTTCAGGATTCTGCTGGCCTTATCCTCCAATTCCTTGGGCTCAGTTGGTGTCAGTTGCTTTAACTCTGGGGGCGCGGCACCTTCTTTTAAAATCCCAGGCGCGCTTTTTTGGTTTGATTTCCTTGGCACCGCCAGACCAGAAGAAATTATTTCTTGTTTATGATGTCTACATATTCTATCCGTTTTTTGGGTGCATTCATCATGACCCTCATTATGTTGATAACAACGGTAATCCTCCTCGTCCCTTGCCCTCGCCCTCATCCTCACCCGCATCCCTCATCCTCACCTTCATCCTTCTCACCACCACCACCAGCATCAGCATCAGCATCATCATCATCATCATCATCACCACCATCATCATCACCATCATCATCATCATCATTGTAAAGTTCAGTTATTGTACTCCCTCTCTCTGTAGCCAGGCCGCGGTACCATATGTCACCTTTTGGATTGTACCGCGCAAGGGCCCTGTATTGAGCCAGGTCATGTATCCATGATGTAATATTCACATGTGTACACAGAACTGTACCAGTGGACATGTACATGCTGAGTGGCGTCCATCAGTGTGCTCTGAGACTGTACCCCAAAAGGGTAAGGCAATATGTACATCAATCTTCGTGCTATACCTCTTCAGAAACGATCTACCTCATGCAGTGGTACTCACATGTAAACGTCACTTCAGTTGGACTGTATCAAAGTGAAATCCATGTACTTCCCAAATTCTGTGACTGCCAGATCCAGTCTAAGATGCCGGTACACCTCCATTGGACATGGTTGTGTCCATCATGTATGCCACATGCATCTCGCTGGCATGTACGCTCACTTGCCAGATTTTCATCCTCATCAAACTTTGCAGCGGCCTGGATCTGATGGGTGCAGCAATACTGCTGAAATGAGAACTGCAATGGCTGAGGAAAATGACGTCCCAGGCATGTACCGGATCGATGTAGTGCCATGCACATCGAGCGTGGCGAGGATCTGTAGCCGGTGATGCCATGATTTCCTCAACATGCGTGTGGCCAGCTCATTTGGACCGATAGTGTACCCGATGGTGTACTGCACCATCATGGACGTAAATCCCCTGTTGAAGGGCTTGGCAGACTGATTGTAGATGTGCGTGCGCATTTGGTGCACATTTGGTGCACGTTTGGTGCACATCTGGTGCACATCCTGTACCATCATCAGGATGTACATGGTTGGGCTGTACTCAGTCAATCCTGCCAGAATGGACCATAAAATGTATGTGATGCAGTCATGCATCGAAGAATGAAAGGTTGTAAAGCCTGTTGCACGGTCTTGCTTGACCACTGGAAGGTAACATCATCAATCTTGTACTTGTCATACTCCATCTCTGTCAGGCCCACAAACATGTAGCTCGCACACTGGCTCTCAGCTGCGGTGATGGCCTCCTTGATCCTTGAGATTGTATGGGGCTGACTGTACATGTACGTCCCTGATCTGTACCAGATCTTGAATGGGCCCAAGGTCGCCCTAGGGCCTGGTATGGCCGCACATCAGTACCCACGATCCTGAGAGAATCCATGTACTCCACGGGTCAGGATGTACGGGGCTTGTACCTAAAGATCGGACGGCACGGCCGGCGAATTCGAACTGTACTCCCTTAGCACAAAAAACACATGTACAGCTCAAACTTAGTGAGCATGTACCCGTGGAAGGCGGCGGACCATGTAAGTCTTAGACTATCTCATGTAGTCCCATGTACTCTTCAAACACAATGATATAGATGACAGTGACAAGGATGAAAGTCATGTAACCCTCGAGGTCGTGAGACAGGTACTCGTTAAATTCAAGGTGAAAGGCTGCAGGCATGTATTCATACATTTATGTCCACCTCTATAGCTTATTCTAATGTTTTTAAACTTGAAAAAAAACAAAAAAAAGGAAACCGCATGGAAAATCAAAAAACAAAACTTCAAAACCAAAAAAACAGGAAGCAAAATAAATGGGGAAAAAAAGGAACGTCAAAAAGGGGGAAAAATGGGAAAAAAATGGACTTGTCCATTTGCATTTTTGTTGTTTTTTTTTGCTTTTTCGATTTGCTTTTTTTTGCTTTTTTTTGCTTTTGTTTTGAAAAAAAAGCAAAATAAAAGCAAAACAAAAGCAAAACAAAAAGCAAATCGAAAAAGCAAAAAAAAAGCAACAAAAATGCAAATGGACAAGTCCATTTTTTCCCCATTTTTCCCCTTTTTGTCTTTCCTTTTTGTTTCCCTTTTTTTTCCCTTTTATTTTGCTTTTGTGTTTTTTGGATTTTGCTGATTTGCTTTTTGGTTTTTCCTTTTTTTATGCATTTTTCGCGTTTTTTTTTCAAGTTTTAAAAAAATAAGAATAAGCTAAGGTTTGGTGAACATAATCATACATGCGTGTTTGTATGCTGGTATGTGAAACTGCAGTAGCTGTGTAGCTCTTCAGCTATTTGGTGACACCTTTGTAGCTGTATCTCTTCTCAGCCCCCTGGCAGACGTATGCCCGCTTGGTACAAGTGCCAATGCAGCACTTCTCTTGCCACATACTTTGTAAGTATGTCCGCTGGATTGTTTTTGGTGTTGACTTTGTGTATCGCTAGGATGCCATCGAGGATGAGATGTTGGATGAACATGTACTTCAGTTCTATGTGTTTGGCTCTTTTGGAGACTCCGATGCGTGTAGCCATACTTTTACCGGACGAGCTGTCCCTGTGTATCTTGAGGTTGATTTTGTTTGTAAGAATTTCGCCAAGGAAATTCTTGAGGTGTAGTGCTTCTGTTGCTCCTGTACCGATGGCGTAGAACTCACTCTCTGCTGATGAGAGTGCTACGACGGCTCTACATTCATTGCGAGGCACCAAAAAAATTCCAAACCATTATATATAGATGCACCAAACATCGACAGGCACCAAAAAAACCAAACAAAAAGCAATTTCCAGCAACTACTCAGAAGTGCATCTAGTGTTTTTTTTTTCGTTTTTTTGGTGCCTGTGCAGGTTTGGTGACTCTGACTACACAAAACATTGACAGGCACCAAAAAAACAACAAAACACCAAACCACTAGATGCTCTAAATATCGACAGGCACCCCCCCCCAAAAAAAATAAACAATCCAGCCATTACTGAGAAGTGGACCCATAGTTCCTGGAAATTTGTTTTTTCCCCACCTGCCAGGTGAGGGTTGTTAGATTTTATCAGAGCTGTTGACCTCCTCCTCCTCCTCCGCCTACTCCTCCAGTTTCTCCTCGACCATGTCTGCATCAACTTCCACCTCCACTTCCGCCTTGCCAACTCTTCGCCAAGCTCTTCGCCAACTTCCGAGCTCAGTGCGCACTGCTGGACCTCAACTTGGGACCTTCCCAGCTCAGTGCGCACTGCTGGACCTCAACCTGGGACCTTCCCAGCTCAGTGCGCACCGCTGGACCTCAACCTGGGACCTTCCTAGCTCAGTGCGCGCCGCTGGGCCTCAAAAGCCAGAGAAGATATGCCAGATAGAATGTCAGATAGAATGCGAGAAGATATGCCAGATAAAATGCCAGAAGATATGCCAGATAGAGTGCCAGGAGATATGCCAGATAGAATGTTAGAAGATGTGCCAGATAGAATGCCAGAAGGTATGCCAGATAGACTGGGAGATAAAATGTCAGATAGAATCCCAGAAGATATGCCAGATAAAGTGCAAGAATGTTTGCCAGATAGAATGCCAGAAGATTTGAGTAGATAATATGCCAGAAGATATGCCAGATAGAATGCCAGATAGAATGCCAGAAGATATGTCAGATAGAATGCCAGAAGATTTGCCAATAACAAAATGTATAAATGTCATGGTGGGGATCACACGAAGTAAAGTAATTTTGTTTTTTTGGTACCTGTGCAAGTTTGGTGCATCTACTGTTTTTTTTTGTTAGGTGCCTGTGCAGGTTTGGTGACTCTGACTGCACAAAACATTGACAGGCACCAAAAAAAACAAAAAACATCAACAACTACTCAGAAGTGGACCCATAGTTCCTATCCTGATCCTGTGAACGCATTGCCGTAACCAATTGGTGTTTATGCTTTGCCTTTGCCATATCCACTGTTGTTGTATCCTCTGTATCCTTTTCCTTTGTTGTGCCATTGTGTCTTTCCTTCGCTTTGTCCTTTGTAGCTCTTTCCTTCGCCCTTGTGCATCCTGTTCCTTTGTGCATCAGGCCGATGTCCATTGGTTGTGGGTCTGTTGAACCTGCGCTTGTGTTGAGTGCTTGTTGTTGGGTTTGCATCTTTGATAAAATGCTGTACTTGCTCTGTGATACTCAAGAAATACCCCTGTAGATTTCCTGCGCAAAATGAGGACGTCCAGCGGCCTCAAACACAGCGAGTTTAAAACAGGTCCCTGCTAGCATGTTTTGGCAGTAGGCCATAGGCCTTCATTTCAACAACACCCCATGTGTCTTCCTTTTAGACATCCCAAAAGGCATTAACCATAGCGGGCTACGGGCCATCATCATTTAAGACACCGCATTTTTTCAGGTTTTGGGCGGTTTTGGGCGTTCAGGCTGTTCTTGAAGGGGCATAGGTCATCATTTTAAGCAAAATACCTGGGCCATCTTGGGTTGCAGTATATGGTCATAGGCTTTCATTTTACCCAGGGATTGCCTGGCAAAAAAAGGGTCTTAGGGCCTTCATTTTGTAGGGGGATGGTGGCTCCTGTTCCCAAGGCAGTGCCTGTACAAAATGGTGGCCCTTGGGGTGGCTTGTAGCAGTGGCTCTTGCTGCATTGGCACCCTTATGGGGAAACACACAGATGCAACCATCCAGCACACAAGCCACGCTGGAAGACCTTAGAATGGCCTGGAAGCAGCAAGAGCCACCTGCCAGCATTCCTACAAGCCACCCCAAGGGCCACCATTTTGTACAGGCACTGCCTTGGGGACTTCTGGGAACCCTTGCCCATAAGAGTCACCACCTCTCTACAAAATGAAAGCCCTGAGACTGTCGGTTGCAGTTGAGGAAAATTTTCTAGCTGTACGACATGAAGACGTTTTCCCAGCTAGTGTAGGAGATGATTCCCTACAAAATGAGAGCCTTTCCAGCAAGGTTAACATAATGAATCCAAAGGGTTGATGTGCTTAAAATGAAAACCCTGAAGCGCAAAAATACATGTTTGTGTTTGGTGGTATATAGATGTCTCTTTGTCCATCCCACAACACAGAGGCCTTCATTTTGTAGATCGGAATCCTTCTCTGCCTGGGTCCCCTGAGGGCTCACATTTTGTAGACAGCCTGGGGTATAGCTGCTATAGGACCCCATTTTGTAGATAGGAATACCTCAGCGGCTTCATTTTGAATTACAAAATGGGGTCCACTGAAGGGCAAGGGGGTATTGACAGCGGAATCTCAAGGATGAGCTCACGTACATCAGCATAACGCTGGATTGTACCTGCTCGGAGTTGCAGGTATTGTTGTAGTGCTCCTTTCGTTTCGTTGAGTAGTACTGCAATTTTGATGTTGTCTGGTATTGGTGCTTGGTTGTCCTTTTCGTACCGGGCGATGTCAAACTCCCATGTTGCAAATGACTCTTCAAACTTCTGTTCGTTGAATTGTGGCTTGCGTAGTTTTTTAAGGTATCCTACACTACGTGTACCGGCTGGTATCGAGAACCTGTTGTGTAGTTGCCTCCAGGTCTCCAAGCCCTGTGCTTGTGTACTGTGCTGTCTGCACAGTACTGCTGCTTGTCCTGAACAAACGCTGACCAGTATGTAGTGCAGGCCTCTACTGAGTTGTACCCAAAGTTGTGCTTCTTGTGGTGTAGTTGCTCCATCTCTAAGGAGGGCGTCTGTAACCTCCATGTTGGATGTATCTGCTGTTTGTAGTAGTCGCGGGAATTCTGAGTTTGTAGCCCAAGGTATGCTACCATCTTGCGCGTCCATTCCTCAAATGTTGCATGGTCTCCAGTAAAGTATGGTGGTTGCAATGTGTACCTGTGCGTTGATTGTAGTTCTCCTCCAGCTGCGGCCATGTTTGTCTCGTTGTACTTTCTCAACTGCTGTTGCTTTGTTGCCTTGTGTATTGGAGCTCACCCTGTCCTGTATCGTCCAGGGGTCACTGCTCCGCTACCAAATAAAGTTCAATTGTTGTACCCCCTCTCTCTGTAGCCAAGCCGCTGTACCATCTGTCACCTTTTGGACTGTACTGCTCAAGGGCCCTGTATTGAGCCAGGTCATGTATACATGATGTACTATTCACATGTGTACACAGAACTGTACCAGTGGACATGTGCATGCTGAGTGGCGTGTATATCTAACACGTCATCGTCATCGTCATCATCATCATCATCATCATCCTCATCATCATCATCATCATCATCATCCTCATCCTCATCCTCATCCTCACTGTCACCATCACAAGTACCATCATCATGGCCATCATCATGGCCATCATCAAAACCACCATCATCCAGACCCTCATCATAACAATCATTAAGCGTGATCATTGGTTCTTTGCATTCAGCCAATAGGTCCCTCATTGTCCTTGTCCATGATTTTATTACCGGTGGCTCCTGTTAGCTCACAGAGGTAAATTGGAAGATCTTTGGAGAGTACCTCGACTCGCTCCAACACGGATGCGCTGTCGGGCTCCCAGTGCAGCATTGTTTGGCGAGCGGTTTAGGTCTCAGATGGTAAAATCAGATAAAATCCACCGTCCTTTGGAGCAGCGCAAAACAAGCAACATCGTTACTTCTAGGTTTTTTTGGATTCATGGGATTCAAAGCGGCAAATCACTTGAGATGACTGAGGATCTGAGGACAGAGAAGCAGATGCGGAGGCAGTGGGACATGGTGGGATGAAGAGAAGGCATTAGTGGTTCTGACTATTTCTGACTCTCGGGGGCCATTCAAGTCCTTTCTGATCCTATCGTAGCGGTTTCCGGTGAATCGTACATTGTGAGGCTTACGTCCGTCACATCAGGCTACTTTGCTTCAATCTTGGATTCATTGGATTCTCAACATGATTGGAGCCTGGGAGAAGTTGCGCTCAATCCGCTGTACTCGGCGCCATCGGTGTTATTGTTGGTGACCTCAAGCGCCCCAGAAATGGCGTAATTCAGTTTAGTCATGAGTATACATGCAGTATGAACAATCCCAAGCTGACAATGGAAACTCACCTTGTGCCACGTGTGACAGTTCTCCTGCTGATGGTTTTGTGGGACACAGGTTGGACATGTGTAGCACCTATAGCGCACGCATGCCATAACATAGAGGCTGCTACGTGTTGCAGGTGTTGTCGAAGACAGACCAGCTGGATAAGATTGAGAGGATGTGAACAGATGGCAGGTGCATTGCATCATACCTCCGAAGAAACCCGTTGAAATTGATGCCTGTTGAGAACTTTTGCACAGTTTGCCCATTGAAGTATCCAACACAATAGACATTCCTGGTGCGCCTCAAGTTTCTGAGGTGTGATAGTTTTATATGTCCAGATCTTCAAGCTTGCCCTTCAATAATTCTGTCTTCCTAGTTTTTTTTCTTTTGCTTAATCTGAACAATTTCGACTATGGGGGGCGAGGGCGATGAATGGCGAAAGTCATAGGAAATTATTTTTTTGATGCAAGTATGGAGCCCAGGCTCCTGCAGTGGCTGCCCATGGCTGCCCTGCTTCACTGGGACTGGGACAACGCCAGTTTTGCGGCCAGCTGACAAACATGGACAAGTACATACATTACAGTGCAGTACAGTACGTTGCATTGACATTGGCATTGACGTGACATTGACATTACAGTACAGTACAGTTCATTACATGGACACTGACACTGACATTGGCATTACAGTAATGTTGGCTGCCTAATGGTAATTACCCCCCCCTATTTTTTTTTTTTTAAGGGGGGGGTCAACCTTCCTATAATAATTTTTGGGAATCTATAGCTGGGATCATGATATGTATCTGATAGATTCTCCATGGTTTTGTTGGGTTTCTGATAGATTCTGAATGGATTTGGTTGGGTTTCTGAGAGATTGGCGAAGAGTTGGCAAGGCGGAAGTGGACATGGAAGTGGGGGCAGAGGTGGTGGAGGCGAAGGAGGAGGACGAGGAGGAGGAGGAGAGAAGAAGGAGAAGAAGGAGAAGGAGAAGGAGGACAACAAAATTGGAGTTGCGGAAAAAAGTTTCCACTATTGCCATGCCTGGTGCAGGTTTGTTATTGCTATTCTGGGGCTTGCAAAGGGGGTACCCTTTGTGGACCTGTTTTCTTGCTTTTTTTAATAAGGGTTTTATAAGGAAATCAGCTGTTTGGTAATTGGATCAGATTTCTGGAATCTAAGCTTTTGCTAATCAAAAGTGAAGGCTGCTTTGAAAAGGATTTGCTTTACTTGGCTCTTTTGGCAATACTAAAAGTAAGTGGAGCTAATTGACTTTTAGTATTGGGGAAAAAATTGGAGTTGGGAAAAAAGTTTCCACTATTGCCATGTTGGGTCCACTATTGGCCATGCCCTCTGGACAAGGTCTGAACATGACTCTTTTGGCAATACTAAAAGTAAATAGAGCTAATTGACTTTTAGTATTGGGGAAAAATTGGAGTTGCGGAAAAATGTTTCTACTATTGACAAGATATCACTATTGGTCAGACAACATTACAGTAGATTACAGTACAGCACATCTGTACATTGGCATTGACATTGGCATTACGTTACTTTACATTACATGCACATGTATATCCCTATATACAAAATATTAAGGGCACAAGCCCATAGAGGCCCCCAAACAGATAGGAAAGAGATGAGAATCATGAATTTTCCGCACAAGACTCTATGGAAAGCAAATAGAACCATTTAGTGCACTCTTTGTTAGACAATGTGCACCCTTCACGTTTCCCACAAAAACTGGAGCTGTCCAGCTCATGCCTCGACTGAATGTTGGGGCGCGCCCGAGTTCTGCATTGGAGCTGGCAATCTGAAGCAGTTGGGGGCGTGACAAGTCAAACATGTGCAGGCAGGGAAAACCATTGATACTGATATGGGAGATGTTAGTGACTAAATGCTGGTGTATTCTTGTTGGACTTGGGCTGCAAGCTTCCAAAGAATTACACGAACATGGTTCAACCCTGGAAAGTGTATGAAGCCATTCAAGTTGAGAGTCTTAGCTGGATGTCTCCCAATCAATCCAATTCAGATTGCCACTGTTCATTTTCCGAAAGGCATGGCTCGGCTGCATGTCGACTTGAAGTTTTACTTTGCAAAGCGCGTGAGCGCACCTCCTTTCTCGAGTGTTTACTCCTGGCTTTAGTCTCCAGTCCCTTCCTGCACACCCACTTGAGATTCTTGTTGCCCAGGGCTTTCGTATCTAATTATGTTTGTGTTGCCCCTCTACTCGAGAAATGGCATGTTCAGTAGTGTGCTCAACGAAACATTGACATTTCCAAATGGCGCAACAATTCCGGTGACATGCTTGTGGCAGACCGGGAGTTGGGCCAAGGGTGCGAATGATGATCATTGATGGACCAGTCCATGAAACAAGACCCACTGCTCCAAAGACTCGACGGGAAAAGATTCAAAAAAAAATATAAATAGCTGTACCATACAGATTTTCCATTATTATTCCCCAAACCATGTGTCCACACTGAGGAGTTCTTGCGGTAGGCCTTTTGTCCGTAAATTTCCGCATAGGATGGCTCTTGTGAGATGTCCAAGTGCGTTTCGACTGCGCAGGCTCGCACAAAGTCTGCACCGCATTGCGCCGCGGGTTTGGCTTGCTCTTGGTCTGCGGCCGTTTGCTTGTAAATTTCCGCACAAAGTGACTCTTGTGCAATGTCCAAGCACATTTCTTTTGCAATTTCCAAGTGCATTTCGACTACGCAGGCTTGCACAAAGTGTTGTCCGCGGTCTTGGTCCGCGCCATTTTACTTGTAAATTCTCGCATATATGATGAAATGCATTCGGCTGCGCGGTCTCGTACAAAGTATGGTCCCCGAACTTGGTCTGCAGCATTTTACTTCTAAATTCTCACACACAATGATTTTGTATACTTTTGTGACATGTGATGAAGTGCATTTCGATTGCACAGGCTCGCACAAAGTGAGGGTCGCAGTCTTGGGATCGGCCCTCCTCCTCAGCATTATCAATTTCCTCCTTGGCAACATCATCATCTTCCACTTTATTATTCTCCATTTCATCTTTCCCATTAGCATCCTTATCCTCATCCTCCTCAATATCATCATCCTCATCATCATCCTCCATGTCATTATCCTCCACCTAATCATTCTCCACATCATCCTCCTGCACCTCATTATTCTCAACATCATCATCCTTGATATCATCGTCCATAATATTATTATCATCATCATCATTATCAACATCCTCATTATCATACATTAGAATATATTATTATACATTATTATGCATTACTATATATATATATATTATAATATATATTTGTAATCCCCCTTACCATTTCCACTACTAAAAGGGTGAACACGTGCTTGATACCATCCCCTGTTTTGTGGAGAATTCATGCAAACATGGTTCCACAAAAGGTTGTGCATGCGTGTCACTACAAAATGCAGCGGATGACAAAAGCCATCCAGAAACTAGGACATCACGCAACGAATCTGTGCTTTGTGGGTGAAAGGAACTCTGAGCATGGATTCTTTGAACTTGGGTGAAACTTGACTATTGGACAAAACGAGCAGGAACCTGGTAGAATGTGATACGTTTAGATTATGATTGGTAATCGCATGTAATCGCCAAAATCGGTGTGACAAAAGCATGGCGCAGAGATTTTGAACTGCAATCGTCATAGCCATGGGGCAGCAACAACGATCTGAGCGCACAACTTCAATTTCAATTGATCGGTTTTGAACCAAATCTGTCCCTTTTTTCCTTTCCAGGCTCTACATAAAAAGCATGTTTTTCGAACTTTTTGGGGCTTATCTGGAGGGGGACGCAGTGGGTTCTACAAAAAATTGTGCACGCGTGTGTTACTACAAAATGCAGTGCATGACAAAAATCTTCCAGAAACTAGGACATCACGCATCGAATCTGTGCTTTGTGGGTGAAGGAAACTCTGAGCATGGATTCTTTGAACTTAGGTGAAACTTGACTATTGGACAAAAAGGGCAAGAACCTAGTAGAATGGGGTACGTTTAGATTATGATTGGTAATCGTATGTAATCGCCAAAATAGGTGTGACAAAAGCACGGCGCAGAGATTTTGAACTGCAATCGTCAGAGCTATGGGGCAACAAAAAGGATTTAAGCGCACAACTTCAAATTCAATTGATCGGTTTTGAAACCAAGTCTGTCCCATTTTTCCTTCTTAAAGTCGCTACAGCTCTAGATAAAAAGCATGTTTTTCGAACTTTTTGAGGCTTATCTGGAGGGGCACGCAGTAGATTCTACAAAAGGTTGTGCACGCGTGTGTCACTACAAAATGCAGCGCATGACAAAAGCCATCCAGAAACTAGGACATCACGCATCGAATCTGTGCTTTGTGGGCGAAAGGAACTCTGAGCATGGATTCTTTGAACTTGGGTGAAACTTGACTATTGGACAAAACGAGCAGGAACCTGGTAGAATGGGATACGTTTAGATTATGATTGGCAATCGCATGTAATCGCCAAAATAGGTGTGACAAAAGCACAGCGCAGAGATTTTGAACTGCAATCGTCAGAGCTATGGGGCAACAAAAACGATCTAAGCGCACAACTTCAAATTCAATTGATCGGTTTTGAACCACATGGGATTGCGAGCTTAGTGCGGCCCGCTATTTCACACCCAGCCAGCCAGCCGGCCGGCTGGCCAAAAACCAAGCACCAGCTGGCCGGCCGGCCGGCCACAAACCAAGCCCCAGCTGGCCGGCCGGCCGGACGCCACAAACCAAGAACCAGCTAGCCACCGTGGCGCCAGCTGAAGCCAAGCGACAGCCAGCCAGCCAGCCAGACAGCCAGCCAGCCAGCCAGCGTGGTCGGCCGGCCGGCCGGCGGGCCAAAAACCAAGCCCGGCGAATGAAATGAATGAATGCATTGAAAGAAACGACTGACATGAATGCAATGAATGAAACAAATGAAATGAATAAAGCGAATGAAAACGAATGAAAGAAGTTCATTGAATGAAATGAATGAAACGAATCTAACGAATGAAACGAAACCAAGAAAAAATGAATGAAATGAACGAAAGGAATGACATGATTGAAAGGAATGAAATGGCTGAAACGAATGAAAGGAATGAAGATGAATGAAACGAATGAAACGAATGAAACAAATGAAGCAAATGAAAAGAACCAAACGAATGAAGCGAATGACATGAATGAAACGAATGAAGCGAATGCAACAAAAGAAATGAATGGAATGAACGAAGTGAACGAAAGGAATGAAATGATTGAAATGACTGAATTGAATGAATTGAAAGAAATGAGCCA